AAGGCATCACTGACAAGTCTGATCCCATCCTATTCAGTAACCCAAAATTCCAACCAGTCTTAACCTGTGTCAAGCCATTATGTCTAAAATTTTGGACTGTGCTATATGTTGGGAAAAATCTTAAATTCAGTCTGAATTTGGAAAAAAAAAGTTTTAGCACAGTTCTTAAAATAATTAATTAATTGAGAGTAATCAACTGTAATTACTGTAATATTTTAGTTAATTTTCTGAATCTTCCCATTTCTATCATGACTGTGAAACCACATTCCATGTCGGTTCTTGGAAACAGGAAGGGGATTCCAGCAAAAAATTGTCTTCAGGCTCTGTTTATGAGACATCACTGGTTTAATTAGTATTGGAGGCTTGATACCTTCAAGTTGCTGTACCATTACTGTGACAGCTGCAGATGTATTTCCAGTAACAGTCAATGATTTACTTGACATTAATATGCATTGGACTGCTATAAATATGACCCCAACCATAATCATTTTAATGAAGTTGAAATACATAAGCTTCCCTAATTTTACTGTTTGTGCAAGTCATAGTTTCTTCACACAGATGTGGGCTGAAACCACTCCCCATTTCCACACAAGGTCAGTCAGCTCTCCTCTAGATCTGATAAAGTGGTTCAACTTAATGGGCTCTCTTATCCGATTCAAATTTTCTTGATGGGAGGGGGGGCAAATCATGTGGAACAACCCACAGGCTGACAAATATCTATAAATATGCTATTTGCCTTTCTTTTAAGAATTGACAGTTTACACAGTGTCACGGTCTGTTCTTTCAGATGTTCTTTCTGTATAAGCGAATATAAAACTTCGAATAAAAATGCATATCTTAAAGGAGCCCTGTTGTCCTCTCATTTAAAGAAGTGGCAGGTGGATTGAGTAACATTTTCCCCAAAATTTATATCATGCGCAAAGCAGCACAATGGGTTCTGTGCGCTTTAATAGAAAAAATATATTTAATAGCATAAATCTGCAAACATTGAACAGAAAGAGCAGATGGTGATACGGTGTACTTTGAATTCGAAATAACAGTTTTGTTATATCCAAGAAAAGAGTGTATTTCGCACTTTGGCTCTACAATATTACACTCGCGGCAATATATTTTAAGACAAAAAGGAACAGTAGCTGATTAAATAGTTATATATACACACACAATATATATACAAATGGAAATTTATAGGTGAGGTGGAGCGAGTGTCTATGTGGTCAACACCTGAGGTGAAGCAGGTGAAGACGAGAGCCAAGCTGGAAAGAGTATCGGTCTTGTTGACATCAAGCTGCATAAACTTGGAACTGATCAATAGTTTAACCCAATCAACAATAGTTTTGGAGGCAGTCCAGCTTCAATTTGGTAGGTACAAGTTTTCACAAACTCAGTGGGTGTGAAAATTAACAGATAGAACTCAATCACGTTATGGGCGATGGCAGTTGCTATTAGTTACCCACAAATTATATAAATGTCACCGTGTATTGTCTGGTGGCGTTTTTCTGAGCAGGTAAGTGGCTGGGGAGCTCTAGCCTTGCTTAGAAAAATGGTGTTCACACCAGAGTTATTTCCTGGACCAGGATGAACAGCTGCTGTTCTACCTCTATTAACATTGAGGTGCAGCACCAACAGAAGCCATTAACCTTGCTGTGCATATTCAGCTAACAGCTGCATTGGTAATCTTTTGCCTGTTTCCTACTGTTCTAGCCTTTGTTTACCCCTTTAGACTGGATGGGATTTACTTTTTCAGTGGTCACTCCATGACTGTTTGTGGGACATTGTTTGCACATATTGGCTGCTGTGTATCACCCACAAAATACACAGTCAATTCAGTTTACAGTATATTCTGTGAAACACTTTGAGACGTCTCGAAGATGTGATAAGGCGCCAAATCAAATGTAAGGATTATTATTATATCAAATACAAGAATAATTATTATTTATTATTATAATAAGCAGATTCCTTTATATCTCTCACTCAGAAACTGATTGCTGTTTCAAAATTAAACAATCTATTTCATACAGACTTAATTCATATTTTTAAAAATAGTTTCCAACATATTGAAATCAGTACATTTTTGTCAGTGGAATTATCATCTTTCTCGACAATGTTTCTTTCTGGTTCTTTGGCTCCACACTGTGTTAAACATTATTATTGTAGTTACAGCTGTGAGTAAAAGGGATATCATTTCAGCATGAAATATAATTGTTGTCAGCTTGAATATTTTATACAAATTTCACTTTAAACTGAACTTTGCTTCTGGATTTTGTGCCTATCAAGGTGAGAGAGATGTCAGTACTGAATTTAAATCACAATAGTTTTGAGTACGTCGAAGTTTCAAACACCCTGAGTTTTGATTAGATTCAAAGTTAAAAGGCAACAGTTCTAACTTACTGAAGTATATTGAATGAGTTTCCTTTGAACATATCATTTAAATAGAGGGGCTTGCTTGCCTGACGACTGTGTGTGTAACTGAACTGCCTGGTGTGGCACAGAACTACTAACTATTAGACCAGTGTTTAATTCTTGCTTTGTTTTCTCAGTGAAGGTGGCAGAAGGGATGTTGCATTTGGCCTCAGTAACCTTCATGTCCGCCTGCAACCTTGCCAGCCAAAGAGAGGAAAACCAACCAGTACTCCTGTTCCTGGATTGTCAAACTCTCCTTGTCCACCGGTTCAGTTCCCACCCCCCTAAAAACAACCGTCATCAGCCCCATCCTGAAAAATCCTTTCCTGGACCCATCCCTCCTCTCCAGCTACTGCCCCATCTCTAACCTCCCATTCCTCTCCAAGGTCCTGGAACGAGTCGTCGCGTCCCAGGTCTGCTACTTTCTTTCTCGCCATTCCCTCCTTGAACCCCTCCAATCCGGCTTCCGCACTGCCCACAGCACGGAAACAGCCCTGGTCAAGGTCACTAATGACATTCTGATCAGGGCTCCCTCTTCCTCCTTGTCCTCCTCGACCTCTCTGTCGACCACTCCATCCTCATACACCGCCTCTCCCCTTTACTTAATCTTTGCGGACCTGCCCTTGCCTGGTTCAAATCCTATCTCTCTCACCATCTCCACTTTGTTGCCTCTAACGGTTTCTCCTCCAGCCCCCGCACTGTCACATCTGGTGTCCCCCAGAGCTCTGTCCTTGGCCCTCTCCTCTTTAATATCTACATGCTCCCCTTTGGTGACACCATCCGCAGACATCGGGTCAACTTCCATATGTATTCGGATGACACGCAACTCTATCTTTCTGCCTCCACCCTCAACTCCAGGACTGCAGCTGTCTTGACAGACTGCCTGCCGGACATCAAGTCCTGTATGAGGGCAAATTTCCTACAGTTGAATGTGAACAAGACTGAGGCCCTCCTGATTGGCTCACACCAGCGCCTCAACACCTCAGGCTCTGGCAGTATCAGCCTCCATGGTTGCACACTTCAACTCACCAAGTCAGTCAGGAACCTAGGTGTCTTGTTCGACCCTCAACTGTCTATTCTCCCCCACATCCAAGCCATGACCCGCTCTGCTTTCCCTCACCTCCATAACATCGCCCGACTCCGCCACTACCTCACCCCTCAGGCCGCTGAAACTCTTGTTCATGCCTTCATCACCTCCAGGCTCAATTATGCAAACGTCCTGCTTGCGGCCTTCCCAACTCCTCCCTCCACAGGCTGCAGATAATCCAGAACTCTGCAGCCCATTTCCTCTCCCGCACCAAACTCCGTGACCCCATTTCCTCCATTCTCTCCTGACTCCATTGGCTCTCTATCCTTCAGAGGATCCAGTTCAAGATCCTGGTCCTCACCTACAAAGCCCTCCATGGCCTCGCCCCACCCTACCTCTGTGACCTCCTAACTCCCTACCAACCCGCCCGCTCTCTCCCCTCAGCCGGCTCTGGCCTGCTCCACGGCCCCCGAACCACCCGTCCCACCATTGTCAGGAGAGCCTTCAGCCACTCTGCCCCCAACCTCTGGAATTCCATTCCCCAATTACTCCGCCTCACCCCCTCCTTTGCCTCCTTCAAGTCCCGTCTCAAAACCCAACTCAAATGACCGTGCCATCAGCCATCCCCCTTCCCCTCCCTTCCCTTCTCCCACCCTGACCCCAGCTCGGGTCTGAAATGCTTTACACTGTCCAGCATCTTGGGATGTCCTCCTGACATGAAAGGCGCTATGCACATGTAATCTTGTTGCTGTTGTTGTTGTATATCTGTGGTCACCGGGTAAGGAAGGATTATCCTTTATCCATGATTAAATAAATTAACAGGATTCATTATTGGGCATTAAGCAAGAGCAAGTAGGCAATTGGGCAATGGTGGGTAACAGAAGCCTGTGGAACTTCACCACAGCGTTATTACTCAATTCACTATCTGCACAAAATCATTAAAGACCAATTCACCTTAGTTATTCTTCAATGTTTGATGGAAATTCTTCCAAACATTTTGGCTTATTATATTCCCCATGCAGTGGCTTATAATGATGGCCGCACCACAGACTGACTGAGATCACTTAACACAGCACAGAACGAAGATGGAACCTGAAAACGGGGACTTTGAATACAAAAACAAGGAAGTGATATTGACATTATGCAAAATTGCTGTAGGGCACCCACTAAAGAAAGGATATTATTGTCAAAGAGAGTTTAGGCTCAAAATAAATAGCACCAGGGGTGGGGTGTGTTATAGTTAAGAAAATAGATTTTAAAAGCTAGCAGTGGTAAATATAGGGAACTAATCAAGTTTTGATATGTGTAAATGTGGTATAATAATTGATTTAAGAAAAAAAACTCTTAAAAGGTCTTCTTTCACAAAAGTCTTTAAAAGTTTTTTTTAAATATATCAATTAGGAACTATGTATGACAAACCATGCAAGAAGTAAATACAAATCTTTTGAATTACCTCATTGGAAATTTCTGGTAAAATATTAAACAGCTCATTACTCATTTCTTTATTTAGCAAATTAATTTCTCTCCTCTTATCTGGCATGTGCGAAAGGTCACTGCTAACGTTTAAGAATTTGATGTCAGGAACTGGGAGAGATTTGTTTAGCACCTCTTTGTAGCTTGCTTTTAAAGAAGAAAACAATATTTAGAAAACTGACCAAGAACTGACCTAAATGAAGAACTTTAACACTGCTGGTTTAAGTCTGGGGTTAATTGCCGTTTACTTGACTTTTTTTACTTCAGCACAGAAGTTACCAGGTAAGTTACACCTTCTGTAGCAAAAAATAAGTAATTTGACTGTATTCATTTTTTAAAAAAAATTACCAATGTTAATTAAGGAAAAATAGATGAATAAAATATTCTCAGAACATGTTTTTTAGTCTGTTCTAATTGTTTAATCTAAACATAGGAACATCAAAACAGAATACAAAAACAGTGCAGATGAATAGATTTTTTACTAAACTAGCAATAAGAATTGGAACAATTTGGAAATGCGATTGGTTTCTGAACTAAATAAGATGTTGGTGTTTCAGTTTGAGCGGGAATACTGCTGTTCACTGTAACTCTCTAGAATCTCCTGACTTTGACCTCTTGTGACTATAAGTTTTTCTTTCTCAATATTTGGGTATAGCATTTGATATAGTGCCTTATCACATCTTTGAAATGTCTCAAAACACTTCACAGAATATACTGTAAAATGAATTGTTTGTATATTTTGTAGGTGAAACATAGCAGCCAATTGCATACAGCAGTGTCTCACAAACAGTCATGAATTGAGTGATTTTTTAAAAAGTGATTATTACCCCCGGAAAAGCGATCTGTCAATCGACTAATAACCGGGTTCCTACTTACTGCTAGGTAAACAGTGGTGTGTGCAGTAAAGAAACTTGCCCAACGTTTCGCCCTGCTGGGAATCAAACCTAAGTGCTCTTCCCTGCGAGGCGAGTGCTTTAACCACTAAGCTACAGAACTCCACAAGATGTTACCAGGGCTGAGAGATTTCACTTACCACGAGAGACTTGAGTATTTTTTCCATAAAGCTGAGGAGGTTAAGAGGTGACATGACAGAGGTCATTAGGGTTACGAAGGGTAAATAGAAATAAAGTATTTCCATTGTTTGGTGCAATAGGGAACATGTTTAAGAGAATCTCAAAAAGAATTAAAGGGGATATTAGAAAAAAATCAGTACCCTGTGTAAAATGTGGAATTCTCCCCCATAGAGTCCATTTATCATTTTAAAGGTGAATTAGATGTTTGAAAGAGCAGGGAAGTAGGATTAGATTAGATGGTTCACATAAAAAAGCACCAAAGCAGATTTAACAGCTAGTTTTTGTTCTGCTCTGTAATGTTTTATGATTTGCTGCCTCTATCATTCCCCAGCCTGGATATCACTTCAGAACATTTCAATTTCCTGTCTGGCAAAACTGAATCTATCACTCCAACTTCCCCTCCACCAAAATCATCACCTCCACTGTAACTTCAATGCTCTGTGATATGAGGACAAGGAATTGATGCACTTGACTTTTTAGATTGAACCTATCTGGACACATGTAAAGGAAACAAGTCAAAAGAGTGCACAAGGCGATGAGAAATGTGATTACGGATTAACATGGGTTGAGAAGTCGGCAATGATCAGTGAATCATCCCTCAGTATTCAGGTTTAGACATAGAGAAGTTCACGTTATCAAAGTGATGCAGAACTTATTGCCTTCAGAATAGAAAGAGAGAAAACCCGAGGAGGAGAAAAACAAAGAAAAAATGTAATGTCAACAACAACAAGATTCCATTTATAGAGCGCCTTTCACGTCAGGAGGACGTCCCAAGGCGCTGTACAGTTGGGTCAGGACCCGAGCAGGGAGGAAATGATCAGGGTGAGGGAAGGGAGGGAGCGAGGAGGGGGTAGAGAGTCGAGAGGGGAGCTGAAGGCACGGTCAAAGAGAAAGGTCTTGAGACCGGCCGTGAAGGAGGAAAGGGAGGAGGCGGCGAAGGCACTGGGGGATAGAGTTCCAGAGCCTCGGGGCTGAGAGGCTGAAGGCCCGGCCACCGATGGTAGGGCGGTTGGGGTGGGGGATGTGGAGCAGACCGGAACCAGAGGAACGGAGGGTACGGGCAGGTAGGTAGGGGGATAGTAGGTCAGAGAGGTAGGAGGGAGCGAGGCCGTGAATGGCCTTGTAGGTGAGGATGAGGATCTTGAATTCGATCCTCTGGGGGATGGGGAGCCAGTGGAGGCGAGCGAGGGTGGGAGTGATGTGGTGATATGTTATACTATATCGAGGGATTGCTGGAATTAAACCAACTAAAACCTTCCCTGTATGAGCACTGTGCTTACAGTCACGCCCCACCCCACCCCACCCCCAGCTCAGAGACAGTCTCCGCCACTGTTGAGAGCTCTGAGACGCTACCTTGTGTGGAGGGCGCTCTCGAAGTGCAAGTTGTTGTTCAATGTCAGAGCATCTTACATTTTTCCATGGGTTTATAATTTTCTTTTGGGAGCACAGAGGACATTCATCCACATTTTGACAGCCAATGTAGTTTCTTTCAGCTAATACCACTCCATAAAATGTTATGATCATGGTGTCATGAAGGTGGAGTTGATTCATTAGTTGAACAGCCCTACATGTGGGAAGGGTGCTACTTATCGAATATTGTTATCTCTTCCTGTAACAGTTGGGGACTCAAATAGTAATTGGAACTAGTGTTGGGGAAAGTTCATCAAGATAGTTTACATTGGAAATTATTCTCAAAATAAACCAAATGGTTTTTATCACCTGTTTGCTTACACTCTAGAGCAACAAAGTTAGTTGCAAAGTAAACTAAAGTGAACTGGCAGAAACATCATGTAATTCTTATTTACACTTATTTTTGGACGTAGGCCCATGTTTATGACCACGAAACTAAGATTAGATTAAAAACTCAACCTTCAAATGCACTTGTGTGCACGTAAACACAATAAGTATTACAACTGGATGTGCCTTATTGTAATGTATGATAGATGTATATAGTAAGCTAAAAATATATTTTATAGGTGAATATTTTAGCTACCATCCTTCATGAACAATCTTTAGCCTATTTTTCAATAACAAATGCAAAATTATTTTCTCTTGAAATGTCAGATTGTGCAGAATTGTGATTTTTTTTTTAAAAATCTGTTTTGATTTGGAAGCTGATCCTTTTAAGAACAGGTTAAGACTAGGTGAAATATATTGCTGTTATAATTCTGGGTAATACTTGTGTTGTAACAGTATATTAATTTTAAAGCTGCTGTGATTAATACCAAGGCCTGTATAATTCATACCAAGGTCTGAGCCTTCTCCAGATGGGTCCTATTTAAAACTTGGTTAATAGCACAGTACTCTTAACACTTTCCTTATCATCAGAAAGAAGTGTCCACAGATCCTAAGTACTGAGGCAGGAAAATATCCAAATACCTACTAATATACACAAATGCATAAATGCGGTGGAATTCTATTACATGCAGACAATGATATTTCAAATACAGCTTTACATATTGTGGGACAGCTACATCAGTAAAACACAAGAGGAATTAATTGAAACTTCACATGCATTATTCATGAGTAATGTTGCATCAGACACCGCTATATTATATTATATCACATTATATCTACCAACATGAACATAATAAGTGACAAAAGCAATATCGCTCATTAGATAAGACAAAAAGATTGAGTTGTGATTGTTAATAATGCCTGTACTTCTCTAAAAACACTTTTGTGTAATAATGAACCATTTGAAGTCTGAGCAAGCTGGCTTTGAGGATGACTCATTCTAAACAGTGACTTTTAATGTGGTGCTGTTATTCAGTCAGTTGGTGGCACGTGAAAGTTCTCTTTGGGAGAAAAGAAATGTTCTTTCCTGAGCTACGAAGCACAGGCTCTCATCCATTGATCCTAAGAAAGTCGATACTGATATGAAGTTTTTGAGGATGTTTTGTGCAGGATGCGAGATTGGAGGAACAGCCTTTCACTTATGAGCGCTCCAAGATCAGGTGCGACTCGACCAGATATCTCTCTCGACTGTGCCCAGCAATGTGCTTAACCCTTATCTCGGAGGGATACTTGTATACAGTTTCTTGTTTAGAAACACAGTTTCTTGTTCAATCAAGTTCAGATGGATTTTACAAAAATTCAAACTTTTGAAGTTGATAGTGACCTGAGCCCTTGGGTAAATCAATTTATCATCACTTCCAGTAGAAGAAAGCATTGAATCCTAATTTATCCTATTTATTTCAACACTGGAGTTCTGGTACAGTGGACCATTTCATTCACCGCCATAATGTACCCGTCTTTGGAGATTTAAACAGCCATTTATGACACAGTAATTGTTTAATTTAAATTCCATTTATTTTTCTAGTTGTTAACATTCTGCTATTAATGGCAATTTAGGCTATCGATCCTGTGACCTCATTTATATTAGTTAAAAGTGAAACTTACAAGATGTATACCTATCTTATCATGATAAGTAACATACTGATTAACTCTTAATTTTCCATCTTTGTTGCAGAATGCAACCTGCCAAAGGATGAAGGACAGCAAGGGAATAATCCAACAATTAGATTTTATTACGATAAAAATACTGACACCTGCAAGCCGTTTTCGTACAAAGGAACAGGAGGAAATGGAAACAACTTTTTAACTGACAAACCGTGCATGAGGAATTGTTCGATGAGAGGAAATGAGATCTATCCAAGTGATGGTATGTAGCACATGGATTAATAAGAGTGTAAGTAAAGTCTAGGCCTGCACAGCGAAAATGAGGTGGGCATATCATCTACATTATCACTGCAACTACAACAACTTGTATTTGTACAGCATCCTTTATGTCGCGTAACACCTCGGAGCGCTTTACAGAGAAAGCATTACTTTAGCCATGCTGTGGATTTCCTCAGCAGTCTGGACATTCACTTTACTTCACAGTATCAAAGCTACTTTTGTTTTTTCTTATTACAGATCGAGCGTGCATGCTGCCAATGGAGAAGGGTGACTGCAAAGGTCACATCTTATTGTATTATTTTAACAGCACGAAGAAGAAATGCTCGTCTTTCCTATATGGAGGATGTGGCGGAAATGGCAACAGATTCTTCCTACAACAATTGTGCAAGACCGTCTGCGCCAGTAAAATAGGTACGACTGCTTTTGCAGGTACTTCGGGATGCACTGCGTAACCATTGAATTATCAGAATTCTTCAACTAGCTTTGCATTTAACATGGCCCTTTATCAGTCACTGTCACCAAGGTCAGCCCATTGGAAACAGTGAAAGATTTGAGAGAAACAGAAACAAAATATCAGACCTGCTAAAAATGAATAGACATGAAGCAATTCTTTCACAGTGAGACGTAGAAATGGATGATTTATTTTTTCACCAAGAATAAAAAACCTTGAACTAGAAGCAAGTGAGACTCACCATGGTTTTAGAGATTTTCTGAAAGAACATAAGAAATGCTGGATGAAAAAAAGACGAAGGTCCATCCAGTCAGAAACACCATCATTGTGGTCTTTTTTATGATGAATAAAACATTTTTATCTTTTCATTTTTCTTCCCCGAACCTAGCGTATGCTAGCACCTCAACCATGGGGTTAGGTTTCTCTTGAAAGTAAATGAACAGAAGTGTTATTGAAATGTATCAGATTTGATTTAATGCGGTAACCTTCCATGATACGGGGCACAGGTAACACACCTTTTATTTCTCAATTCTCATGTCTTTCTTGAATGGATCAGATCAGCTTGCCGGTGAAGACGATGAACCTGCTGGGAATGAAGGTAAGTGGGAAGTAACATCTGCTATCTTTTTGTCTGGACAAAACCTGAATTTTCTGAGGATTATGTTTATGCAGTACCAGGCTTAACAGAGGTGAAGGTGCTGTTCATACCTACTAAAATCCTCGTCCTCACTCTTGAATCCCTCCACGGTTGTGCTCCTCCTTACTCCTGGTACATATTAACAAGATACCACCCTCTGGAACTCCATGTGGAAATCCATCCGCCTCGCGCTGCCCCTGCCTCCTTCAAGGCCTCTCTCAAGACTATCCTCTTTGGCCTGTTAATGGAAATCTCCCAACAACAGCTGCAAGGATCACATACCAGCTCTTTTACATATAGTTATTTACATATCCTCGGATTAAATCATCATTAAATACATCTGGGTAGAGTGCACAACATTGCAACGTTTTGTAGGAAGGAGCGGGTTCAATTTCTTGTTTTTTTAAAATTTCTTGTTGTATTAAATGAAGTCCAAAATTGTGGATAAAACCCGTAAGTAACACATGACCCTCCCAAGCCCAATTATCGATGGTCGATGGACATGGATGAATGTTTGAAGCTGTTTTACTGGAAAGAATTCTGGGAGACAGTTTAAGAACTGTGATTTAAAAAGTACAAGTAGTACAAATACGTCTTATGACTGTCAGTAAGCAATAATCTGATTCATGTTTTATTTTCTGGATTATACATATTTGGTGCTTTTCACAATGCGTGAGTGAATTTTCTGGTGCTATTTTGCAGCCCTAGCAATCGGACTGGGAATGGGATTCGCCTTGGTAGCAGTCTTGGTTGTGGCAGGTGTCATTTTTTTTCTGCAAAGAAAGAAACTGTAAGGATTTTTTTTTCTTCAAATCGGTCCACAATTAAGTATTTTAAAGATTGAATATGTTATAAGTTTAAAGCAAAATGCAAAGAGCCAATTTCCTTCAATGTAAATTCTAACTATCTAATATTTTTTGATCAAATTATCAACTTTTAAAATAACTAACATGGGGTCTTAGCCAGATTTGATGGAACTATTTTAATAGCCTTACATGCTCTAGACAATCTTTCTGAAATCTATGATGCTTGGCATATAACTGTTAATCACTGGAATGTTGTGCTAATGAATTTTTTTTCAATATTTTAGACGTGAGAAGGCACCAAAAACAATTCATGAGAAACCTCTGACTGACGGGATTGAAATGAAGTGAAATGGAATTGGAAAGCTCTATTCTGTACTGACTAATAAAGATTCAACGTGTTTGTAATCCATGTGTATCCATGAACAAAATATTATTTTTTAAGATACACTTTTAAAAATAAACATTCACTAGTTGCTTTAATTATATTTGTTTTGCTTTGAATATTAAATAAAAGTACCAAAATATTTTCTCTTGTTCTAAAAGTATTTCTTTAGCTTAATAACTATATACATTTATCTGTAGCCTGGTGTGCCACTTGTTCGAGGAATCTTATTTGATTTGTTTTGCTGCGGGCTGTTTCTGTGCATTTCTTAATCTTCTGCCATGAGGAAGGGGTGTAAAGAGCAATTATTTCCCCCAGCGGACCAGACACAGTTTCCAGGACTCATCTCCCTATTATATTCTTGTTTTCATAACCTGCCAGATGTTATAGCATTGTAAACTGCAGCTTTGCTACTGATTATTAATAATGAGAGATTTGGGATTGTTTTTTATTTCCTGTTAATAGTATTGTGGGATGCATGGAGTTCAATGTGTAACCTGGAAACCAGCAAAGACAGCTAAAATTCACTCACCAAGTGTTAGTGTAGAAACATTGCTCTCTGGCACTGGTTACATAGAATATGGGATTTATTCATAGTATGTCCTAACAACTTTGTGATTCAGCTCATCCAGGTAAATGAGTAAAAATGATCAATGCTCAACCCTATCAAACCAAGAAAAGATTTGTTTTTATAGGTTGGTGTTCTTTTAACCTCAGTCAATCCTGCTGTAACTAGTAAGTGCATGGCAGGAGGCTCTCTTCTGACTTTCCATCCTCTGGTAAGGAAGTGCTGACATACAGCAGTGCAGCTGAGATCAGGAACTCAGTCAGTGAGGGAGCAATGCTGTATCTTGTCAGTCCTTTACTCTGCATGTTTTATTTGACTAGAGCTGGGTCCCACCATTTCATGACATTGCCTATTGGCAGACAACGAGATAAAGCTCCACATTGTCTCTTTAGCCCTAAGATAATTTTGTAAAATGCCAGGCTATCAATAGAGAATTACAACATATGCTACTCATTCCAGACCAGATGCCTTCCACAGAGGGAATTTCCATGGAACCAACAAAGAAATTATACTACAGAATATACGATAGCCTTATAACCTTCAATCCAGCCTTTCATGAGCATCTTTTTAAGATAATGTACACAATGTTAATTGAGTTTGATGCGCATCTTCAAACATCACACAGGTATTTATTCTGTGAAGCGCTTTGAGACGTGATAAGGGCCTATGTCAAATGCAAGGATTGTTATTATTATTATTTAGCATCTTCAAAGCTCAGTTCACGTTCTGTTCCATTCCATTCTCATATCTGTTTCAGAAGGTTATGTCCTGGGCCAATAGAAAAGTGCAGAAATGTTTGCCAAAAATTGTGAGGAAAATTGCAAAGGGATGTACCTTTGTTTTCATATGATACACATTGCCAAAAGCAGAGGCATCAACAATTGTTAGGGATATACTGGAATCTATTGTGCTCCATGTGTAAATAGCTATATTTTTAAAACACGTGTATAGAGGGGATTACAGGAGCTATTGCTTGTTTACTGAGTAACCAATGAACTGTTTGTTAACTGCAAATTAATACATTATTTTAATTGGTTGGAGTCTCTGAGTATCTTTCACTGCCATCCTCATAGATAAATATTGAACAAATTAATTCTGTGCATCAACATAGATTATGCCACATTCTTCTTAAAATTGGTGACATCTAGATGAAAATTCAAAAGTTTTGTAACTGATTCACTGTTTCTCATCCATTAGAATAATGATCTTTGGTCTTTAGCTATTCCAGCTTAACATCTGCCTAACGTTGGTAGGATATTAATGTGTTAATGCCTTAAGTTTAGCATCTATAGTATTGTAACTGATGTAACAATTAGTGAGTCTTTCATCCAATTTCAGTTTCACAATTAATTTTACTGGTCGTTTCAGTGAATGGACAGGAATACATCACATTAAATTAAGACATTTTTAGTGACAAAATTCCTCAGGTTTTTATATAGCACATGCATATCATTACATCTAATGGCTAATAGAATTTAACATCTCTAATCGCTCCCTGACATTGCCTGTTCTGCTATCTTGGAATCAGGAGTCACAACCTCCCTACAGCTAAACAATACTATCCTCTACTTACTGGAAAGCCACATACAGGTAGAAAGCATATACCCAGATGCATCTCAATTACAAAATATGATACTGAATATGTTTAGCTTTTACTGATTATGCTTAAGCCTCGTTTTAATTTTAATTTGTTAAAAAATGACAATACTACAGGAATCTATTTCCTATATATTTTCTCAGTGAGGCATGTAGACCAGACTTACCCAATTTTACGCTGAGTTAGCTGATCTTGGCTAAACCATCTGCAGTGGTGTTACAATTGGTCATGATATCGCACTCCTGATTGTTACCACTGACTGCTGCTGTAATAAATGTCTGTATGGGTGTTCAGCAAGAGCAGGATTGGCATTAGTTAAAATGTCCCCCACCCGTAGCTTGCCAGCACCCTCTATACAGGCTCACATCTGAACAATGGCCAATTGGGCAAAGTACTATTCCCTGAGGAATCGTACCCAAACATAAGCCAATGCCTTCTGGTGAGGAGGAAGGAAAATTGGAAACATTTTTGGCAATTAAAAAAGCTGCTATTTTACGTTTTGAATTTATCCTGTGGGAGCACTAATTGTTTTCTATAATGGTACCTTGACTTTGTGTATTTAATGTTGGCACTAAGTAAGACCTGATTAGGTAGATTAAATTAGGTCGATAGTAATTAGATTGCTACCCAGAGGGAGATTTTATGCTAGTTGGTAAGTTTGCTGACCTTCGCAGTATGGACTTATAATTAAGAATGTGCAGTCAAACCTGTTAAATTTACTGACCAAATAAAAAGGTAAGTTAAAAGTTGAAGAAAGCAAAATACTTTTGCTGCACAGAATCATATGTACTTGTCCTTTTTCTCCTGGTTGTCCTTGCACTTAGTTTTACGGCCAAATGCAGAACTGGAAATTGTATGAGGTGTAAAGATTTGTCTCTCTCGACTCTCTTCCCCCTTCTCGCTCCCTCCCATCCCTCCCCTCACCCTGACCATTTCCTCTTACATCTTGCCAACATTTCTATACCTCTTGCCTGTCAGCAACATAAGATGAAAGCAATTCAAAATAGGTATGCCTAATGGCATGTAAAATCTAGAATTTCTAAACTTGGATCATGTTTTCTATTGCCTTTTAAAATTGGGATTTACATTAAGTGTCAAAAAACAAACTTAATTGAATTGGGTTTCAATACGATTAAATTAGTATATAGATTGAGATATGTCCTAGTACGACTTTTATGCCTAAACTGCTATTTGTAAGATGACAATAAAATTAAACCTCTAAATGGGTAAATGGGAAGTACTTTTTGAAAGTATTGTATTTCCATCAGCTTCAGTCGAGTATAAAACAATGCCCTTAGCAAAGAATCCATGCATTTAGTGCATTACTCAGACCAAATTCCTCAGCTGTCACACCACCCAAATTATGAATAAATGGGAAGATTTCAGGTTTATCCCAGTAAGTTTCCATTAATATTTGATGGAGGAGTGTACCTAAGAGCTGATGATGAAGACTACTCAGCCTGGAGAAAGAGCAGTTTGGATGAGTATTTCCTGCTCTCAGGTAACCTTCCAGGCAGGGCGAAACCTTGGGCAAGTTTCCTTACTCCACACGCCTAATAATAATCCCTCCAAAAAACCAAAAACAATAATTAAATTGGTCATTTTCAATCTACGACTGTTTGTGGGACATTGCTGTGCGCAATTGGCTGCCGCGTTCGCCCACAAATATACAGTCAATTCACTTTACAGTGTGTTCTGTGAAGCGCTTTGGGACGTCCTCCTGACGTGAAAAGCGCTATATCAAATGCAAGGATTATTATTATTATTATTATTCCCCCCTCCTCGCTCCCTCCCCTCCCCTGACCATTTCCCCCCTGCTCGGGTCATGACCCAACTGTGCAGCGCCTTGGGACGTCCTCCTGACGTGAAAGGCGCTTTATAAATGGAATCTTGTTGTTGTTGTTGTCCAACTTTTTAACGTTAAGAGTAAAGATATGGCAGATACTCATTGGGACAAAGCCATACAGAAAAAGATCCATCAAAGGAAGTAGTAAAATCTTGGAAACATGGATCTGAAATGCAACAATGATCAGTATTGTAATAGGTTGGCTTTGAATCTGATATATCACCTATAACGTCAAAACATCTCAAAGCACTTCAAAGATAATTCCTCTCCAGTGCAACAATTGTATACTTGTAAGCAGCAGGTAATTTCGATAGTGTCATAGGATCTTCATCAACCACCCGAAGATTAAATAGATTAGGTAGTTTAGGTACCCATAACCTTGGCCAATAGAAAAGTGCAGAAATGTTTGCCCAGAATTGCAGGGATATGTGACGATTTTGTGGAAAATTGTGGGGAACTGATTGGTTCTTTTGAGGTACATTTTATTGCCAACCTACATTATTTCACTTTACTGATATAAACTAAACAGAGAGACACACAGACACTCGTAAACACACACAAACAAATGCCTGGTCTTTCGCAGGTCCGTCGTGCTGCACTGCTTGTAGCCGGTCCACTTTCCCCCCCCCCCCTTTTTTTTAAAAGAAAATTGTGCGATCGTCAAAGTGTAATAGTTTGTAGATGAAAAGGAGGTGGTGGATGGGTGATGATATCTCTCCCCGGACTAAATGACAACACATGGATTTGTAGTTAGAATCTAACTACTGGCCCCGAGACCTTCTATGTCTGTATTTCTCAGCTACTTGCCCGATAAACTCTGAACCATCATGTGGGAGGAGTGGCAATTGTTTTGTGAGCATTTGTAAATATTATGCAGTTGCCAATAACTAATATTTCCAGTTATTCTGCAACTTTTCCCGATGGTGTCCTATCTCTCGTCAATTGCACGTGGGAAAGACAGATCACCATCCTCTTTCCTGTCCTGGCGCATCTCTCTCTCTCGAGTTGACTGGAATATGCACTGAGGTCATATATTTACCAACTCCATGACCAACCCTCAGGCTTTGTCCCCCCTAATGCTAATGCTGCTCCCCAGTGACATCCCACACCACCAGATACCAACTGCCCCGTCTCATCCTAAAGTCTAACCCTAACCCTGTATTACCTGTGAAGAACACCCTTACCCCATTACCCCCTTATTATCTTACCCTTACACCCTGATCCCCATAACCCAACAGCCACACCTATCCACACCCACCTACTTATTAACTCACTCCTCCTCCCCTACACAGACACCCCCCCCCCACTCACACATGCAGACCTGACACCCCCCACTCACTCACTCACATACACAGACCAGACACCCCCCTCACTCACACATTCAGACCAGACACCCCCTCCCTCACATACAGACCAGACCTCCCCCCCACTCACACATACAGACCAGACACCCCCCTCCCTCACACATACAGACCAGACACACCCCCTCACACATACAGACCAGACCCCCACCCCTCCCTCACACATACAGACCAGACCTCCTCCCTCCCACTCACATACACAGACCAGACACCCCCCTCACTCACACATTCAGCCTAGACACCCCCTCCCTCACATACAGACCAGACACCCCCTCACTCACACAGACCAGACCTCCCCCCACTCACACATACAGACCAGACCTCCCCCCACTCACACATACAGACCAGACACCCCCCTCCCTCACACATACAGACCAGACACCCCCCCTCACACATACAGACCAGACCCCCACCCCTCCCTCACACATACAGACCAGACCTCCCCCCTCCCACTCACATACAGACCAGACACCCCCCCCCTCACACATACAGACCAGACACCCCCCCCCTCACACATACAGACCAGACACCCCCCCTCCCTCACACATACAGACCAGACCTCCCCCCTCACTGACATACAGACCAGACCCCCCCCCCTCCCTCACACATACAGACCAGACACCCCCCCCTCACTCACATACAGACCAGACACCCCCCCTCACACATACAGACCAGACCCCCACCCCTCCCTCACACATACAGACCAGACCTCCCCCCATCACTGACATACAGACCAGACCCCCCCCTCCCTCACACATACAGACCAGACACCCCCCCCTCACACATACAGACCAGACACCCCCCCTCCCTCACACATACAGACCAGACCTCCCCCCCTCCCTCACATACAGACCAGACACCCCCCCCACCTCACACATACAGACCAGACACCCCCCCTCACACATACAGACCAGACCCCCACCCCTCCCTCACACATACAGACCAGACCTCCCCCCCATCACTGACATACAGACCAGACCCCCCCTCCCTCACACATACAGACCAGACACCCCCCCCCTCACACATACAGACCAGACCTCCCCCCCTCCCTCACATACAGACCAGACACCCCCCCCACCTCACACATACAGACCAGACCTCCCCCTCACACATACAGACCAGACCTCCCCCTCACACATACAGACCAGACACCCCCCCTCCCTCACACACACACACACCCCACCCCACGGCTGTGTTATATATTTTCAAACAGAGCCTCGGCCATTGTGACTCGATGCAAACCCCCACTCTCCCCGAGAACCGCCTTGGAAACGGGACAATCGTTGCCATGGAGATGGCGGGACGGCGGTTACCGGGCGTGGGGGGAGGGGAGGTCGGGGGAGAGAAGCGGGTGAAGAAGACCAACGGCCGCGGACCAGAGCCAAGTCAGGGCGAGAGGAGAGTGACAGGCGGTCTGGTCTCCCCCTCTCTCTCACTGCAGAGTTCGCCTCGAGGCCCAGTCTCTGGATTTCTATGGTGTCGGTGGGGATTGGGAAGAAGACGATTCTCTCTCTCTCTGTCTGTCTGTCTGTCTGTCTGTCTCTCTGTCAGGGAAGGGATCGCAGCCATAACCAGACTGCGGTTTGCGGGGTGGGGGAAGGTGGGGGAAGGTGGGGGGAAGGGGGTTCGTTGGGGGTCGTTCGTTCAGCGCGTGGGGATGTTGTGGCGAGAAGTAGGCGAACGCGCTGCTTGAAGATGGCGGCCGTGCGCGTTGGTGGGGAGTGACCGTACAGAGAGCGAGCGAGAGAGAGAGAGAGAGAGAGAAAGAGGGGGCGCCCCTCCCTCCCTCCCTCCCTCATCCTTTCTTCCTCTTCCTCCTCCACCGGCAGTCACCGAGCCAGTTCGGCAAAACCTTTCCGTCTCTTTCCTTTCCTTTCTTTCCTTCCTTCCTCTCTCTCTCTCTCTCTCTCTGTCTCTCCTCCCCCACAACGCCAAAAAAAAAAGCCTCTGGGTTTCCTCACACGCATCTCCACGCCCCTCTCCCCCCCTCCCTCCCTCCCTCTGTCCGTCTCTGTCTCTCTCTCTCTCTCTCTGTGTGTGTGAACATGGAGTGCCCCCACTTGGCGTCCAGTGTCTGCATCGTCCCGGATTCCACCAAGTTCCCCAACGGATCGCCCTCTTCCTGGTGTTGTGCCGGTGAGTTGTTGTCTCTCTTCCTTCCCCTTCCTTCCACCCCCTCCCCGCCACCCCTTCCCCCTCCACCCCCTCCCCGCCACCCCTTCCCCCTCCACCCCCCCCTCCCCGCCACCCCTTCCCCCGCCACCCCCTCCCCGCCACCCCTTCCCCCGCCACCCCCTCCCCGCCACCCCTTCCCCCTCCACCCCCTCCCCGCCACCCCTTCCCCCTCCACCCCCTCCCCGCCACCCCTTCCCCCTCCACCCCCTCCTTCCTCCTCTCTCTCTCTCTCTGTGTACCCCCTTTTCCCTTCATCCTTTTCCCGACTTCTTTCTCTTTCTCTCTCTCTCTTTTTTATAACCCCCACCTTTTCCCTTCCCTTCTTCCCTTTCTTCCCCTCCCAACGCACACTCACACACACACACACACACAAGAAAAAACTCGCCGACTTTTTTTTACACACTCGCAGCGTTTCTGCCGCTCAGGAGAGCTTTCGCCGGGGGTGGGGGGGGGGGGGGGGAGGTCGGCTGCGAAGTCAGGAAAAGCCGCCCTGAGCACAGGCTTACACTTGCGGCCTATTTTTTTTCGATGGGGAGGGATGGAGGAGTGGAGGTGGAGTGGGGTGGGGGGGGGGGTGGAGAGAGAAAAAAATAAAAGCTTCGGAAAAACCCAGGGCTTGGGGAGAGAAACGCTCAAAAACACTCGCGCTTTCTTTTTTTTGGTGGTGGTGGTGGGGGGGGTATAATGTGAAGGAGGAGGAAGGTGGGGGGAGGTTTGTGTGGGGTGGGGGGGGGGTGTTATTTTTTGAGGTGTTGGTGAAGGGGAATTGAAACTCCCATCGCGTGTTTGGGTTGTAACTTGTATTTGGGTATGTTTTTTTTTCTTGGATTTGCAAGACATTTCTTTCTGTTCGCAGCCTGAAATGTAAATGTTGTTCCTTGTTGGGGGCGGGGTGTGAGGGGGGGTGTTGGGGGGGTGTTGGGGGTGTGTGTGAGGGGGTGTTGGGGGGGTTGTTGGGGGTGGTGGGGTGAGGGGGTGTGTGAGGGGTGTTGGGGGGGGTGAGGGGTGTTGGGGGGGGGGTGTTGGGGTTGGTGGTGTGAGGGGGTGTGTGAGGGGTGTTGGGGGGGGTGAGGGTTGTTGGGGGGGGGTTGTTGGGGGTGGTGGGGTGAGGGGGTGTGTGAGGGGTGTTGGGGGGGGTGAGGGGTGTTGGGGGTGTGTGAGGGTTGTTGGGGGGGGGTGTTGGGGTGGTGGTGTGAGGGGGTGTTGGGGGGGGTGGTGTGAGGGGGTGTTGGGGGTGTGTGAGGGTTGTTGGGGGGGGTGTTGGGGGTGGTGGTGTGAGGGGTGTTGGGGGTGTGTGAGGGTTGTTGGGGGGGGTGTTGGGGGTGGTGGTGTGAGGGGTGTGTGAGGGTTGTTGGGGGGTGTTGGGGGGTGGTGGTGTGAGGGGTGTTGGGGGTGTGTGAGGGTTGTTGGGGGGGGTGTTGGGGGTGGTGGTGTGAGGGGTGTGTGAGGGTTGTTGGGGGGGGGTGTTGGGGGTGGTGGTGTGAGGGGGTGTTGGGGAGGTGTGTGAGGGGTGTTGGGGGGGGGTGTTGGGGGTGGTGGTGTGAGGGGGTGTTGGGGAGGTGTGTGAGGGGTGTTGGGGGGGGGGTGAGGGGTGTTGGGGGTGTGTGAGGGTTGTTGGGGGGTGTGTGAGGGTTGTTGGGGGGGGGGGGGGGTGGTGGTGTGAGGGGGTGTTGGGGCTGTTTGCCTCAGAGTTAAATTGCAGCAATTTACGTTTTTAACAAAACTTGTTACAATAATTTTGTTTCTGTTGTGTTACAAGAAGACGTTGGAAATTGTGGTTGGAAGTAAAAGGTTTGCGAGAGGTGATTCTTTTTTTTTGTGTGTGTGTGTGGGGGGGGGGGCAGGAGAGGAGAAGAGTCTCGGGTTTATTAGTCAGAGTTTAAAAGAACCCACCGAATATTTACAGTTTTGCCACGTACCATCATCATCCTCCTCCTCCTCCTCATCGTCGTGCAGTGAGAGTGTGTTGTTGCACAGAAAGACGTTTTCCGGAGTTTTATCGACCACTGGAATGCAAAAATCAATCTTTACATTTATACGTATTTGTATATAATAAAGATTTTTTTTAAAAAAAACCCCTCTCATGGGTAAGAGTGTAGCCTTTCAAATGACTTTCCGTGTGTTAAAAGCATCCAACGTGCTCAGACCGATCAGATGGGGTTTCCTCTGTTAGGCCTTTATATTTATATATATATATATATGCATATATATATATATACATATATATATACATATATATATCTATATATACATTTCCATTGTCTGGGCTCTCGGCAGTTTATAATAATCTCTGAGAGAAACTTGTCCTCCAGCCCCGGATTGAACTCCCGAGGCCCAATCTCACCACAACCAGCGCCTGGACACTAAATTATTATTATTTTTTTGGGGGGGTGGGGGGTCGAAACCTGCCCTATTTTGGTGTCTCGCTGCAGCTGCCGCCGGACAAGATTGTACCGAATTCTGCGCAGCGAATACACTTGCGATTTGGTGGTCGACGAAAGGAAATTGTCATTTTTTTATATATATATATTTCCCCCCCCCCCCCTCCCCATCATCATCTTTTGTTTCCTTTCACCGAGGTCATGATGCGATGCGGCTGGACTTTTTTTTGGGGGGGTGGTGGTGGGGGTATATATAAAGGATTTTCACTCTCTTTAATGTATTCAATCTACGTGGAAGTTCTGCAGTTCTTTCAACGACGCCTCTTAACTCTCCTTTTTAGGGTATACTTTTTTTTTCACCTTTTTTTTCTCTCTCTCTCTCTCTTTCCACCCCCCCACCCCCCCCCCCAAAAAAAAACTTTCCGGCCGAGAATTTTCAACATCGTACATTTTGTTCAACGGGAATTCTTTTGTGTGCAGGAAAAGGGAGTGACTCTTTGCAGCTCGGGTTTTAGTGGCTTTGAATTACAATTGCAATGTCAATTGGCCCCACTCGGGTCTCAGCCTGGAAATAACATCCAGTTCAAAAATTTTCTGCATCGCCTGCGTGCCTAAACCTTTTTTGTCTTCAAAATTAGTTGGAAGGGCCGTAGAATTTCTTTACTTCCAGAAGGAAGCGCAAAGGAGTGGAAGTTCACCAATCTTACGAAATCCGAATCTTGATTTTTTTTCCCACTGCAAATCATCATCATCATCATCATCAGCAGCAGCAGCATCCAAAAAAAAAAGTTGTTTGCGAAAGTGGTAGACGATACGTTCGAGAACACGAAAGGGTTGTTAAATTTGAAGCAAAGGTAGAATAGTAGAGATAAAACGTGTTGCTTCAGTAGTCAAAAGGTTAGTTGTTCAGGCCTTCAGTCTCTGGAGGGTGGAGGATAATTTAAATGTTGTGTGTTTTTTAACCTTGTGTCCTGGAATTGTACAGAGGTGCTCAATTAATTCCTTTCAGGTTGGATTTGTCTGTAGCCAACCCCCCCCCCCCCCCCCCCCCATTGCCAGTCTACAGTCATCTGCCAGCTGCGGATTATGTGCATTCTTGGCTGGGATGTGTGGAAGTGTGTGTTTCCTCAGGAAGTGGGGGGAAGGGAAGAAGTAGGAAAAACTGACCTTGCTTCTTCTTCACCCAGCCCGTGTCAGGGAAAAATGGCATTGATGGTGGCAAAAAGTCTTGTAAGACAGCCTATCTGTTCCTTCCCTGTTCAGGATGTACGAAAGTCACAAATCTTTAAAAGAGGGGGTAATCACAATAATCACAATTTTTCAAAAAATCTATTAAAACTTCAACCTATTAAAATTGATTTTGGGCACTTATGAAATGCACTTTTATGTGTACAGGATAGCACTCACTCTTGCCCCCCATTTTGATGTGTGTATAATTCTCTGGCAACTGAGATTAGCAGCTACTTTCAGGGATGAAATGTTACCTTTGTGCCTGAAATTCAACTAAAATCATGAAGAAATTTGAATTTCAGAGAATTCTGACTTGGCTCCAGAATTTTTTTAAAAAAAATAGAGGAAATCTTTGACATTATCTTGTAAACAGGAAGTAGACAGAGATAGCCTTATCGGGGTAAAGGTATAATCTTCATTCTTGGCTGAAAAGCACTGAAATTTGCAACATGCTCTCATTGCTTTTTCAGAAAAGCTTAATTTTGCAGTTTCAAAATACTGATATTCTGGAATAATTTTAAATGTGACGGGCTGTGACATAATTACGTCAGCTGCACTACATGGTGTGGTCTTATCCACTCAGCAAAATGCCTCATAGTTGGGCAGTAGAATTTTTGTGAATTGCTGCATAATCCTGTGATAATATGAATGCATTCTTAGAAACTTTTTCTCTTAAGGTTCTTATGAGTCAAGCACATAGCATAAAATATTAACAATATGAATTCAAATGGGCTGCATGACCTTGTTGATGTTGCTGAAATAGAAGATTGTGTGGCCTTACTTGGAGGACATCTCTGCAGATTCTACCCTAAGGACTTAGCAAGTTTTGCCTGAATGATTATTTTGTTATCTAATTTTGTCTTATTTTAATGCTTTTAAATAGTCCTCTGTTTCAACAAAGAAAGAAATAGTAAGAAACTGAATAAAATTCCCATCAAGACAGTCATTGCACGTTTCAGTAAATCCTGTTAGGCACTTTGAGATGTTTCAATGACATGATAAAGTGGTTTATGAAATGCAAGGATTATTACTATTTACAGGTACCCATTGTTAGGTTTCTAGAATCGTTTGACACTATTCATTAGAATGCAACAATTTGCCCTGGGGTTGTACTTGTTAAAATTTAAAATATTGACTTAAAAATGCTTTGTGTTCAGATTAAAAAAGACACTTGTGTTCAGTCACACAGGAACTGATTTTGGTAATCAGGATTTGTCGGTCATAAGATGAGAATGCTGAAATAATGTACATAATGACAAAGGAGAGAGACCTCGGTCAAACTCTGTAACCTCTTGGGAGTTAAATGTTGCCTGTAAATATTTGAAGACCTTCTAATTACCTTGATATTTAATCAACATCTTAATGCTTGCTGCTATTAGAGTATTTCTATTACAAAATGACTTGTATATGTTATCCTATATTGGCCAGAATCATGCTGAACTACACATGTGGAAACCTGCTTTCCGGTTATCTTCTCTTAAGGTTTTGCATCACCTCTCCCAGACTTTATCTGGGCTGATCTTAGCCAGGTTATCAGTGAATTGTCTTTGGACTGGGGAGGGAAATGATGAATCACCGTTTACACTTCTGTTCACTTCAATTACCTCTGCTAGAAAACCTGTTATATGAGATCCAGCTTGGGCTTGACCTTGATGCCCTCCATAGCTGAATGAGCTGCCTAGCCACCAGGGGAAGAATAGCCACTTGGATAAGGTATCAAAAAGCTGCTGATGGTCCTGGAACAGTACCTCAGCCGCCATTGAAATTCGGGAACGCCTCCCTCGGCTGTGTCCACAGACCTTAAAAAAACACGCACAGACGCATTTAATTTCTGTATAGCAACAAGCTCCTCTACCAATTTGTATTTCTGGAAGAATACATAGATTTTGGTGTTTCTGACTTCTCGCCTCCCTCAAAAAAAAAAAATGTTTGAAGGAATTAATTCAGTGAGAATTTATTTTTAACCTGGTTTGATGTGGCCTGCAACACTGCTGTGCTTCATAAATGAGGTTAGAGGAACTTTGTGCAACAGTAAAGGATTGTGGGGTATCAACCTGGTTGATTTGGGTTCATTGCTTTCACCTAGTTCTGACGGCTACTGTTCATACTCATTGTGAAAGGTTTTCTTGTTTATCACCGGCTGAGCTATTTAATGCGACCGCTCAACCAGCTGCTTTCTGCTACTTGAAAGTGTTGTATATTGGCACCTTGTACATTAGAGGGAGCAGAGCAGTAACCACTTTATTTCATCATGTATTATTTGTCAAAATTATAAAGTCTGGTTCAAGCCTTATGGTGATAAACAGTTGGTTAAATTGTTTCTACAATACTGTATTGTAGAAAAAACAGCATTCTGTTTTAATGGGATTCTGTTGTGGAAGCATTAAACCACTCTCCACCATTGTATAATGTGAGCTGACTTCTTCCTGAGATGTGCCTGACTGCTGTTCTTGAGAAATCCTCTAAATGGAGATTAAGCATTGTATTTGCTGGTCTGTCTGGGCCCAAATACTATTATTACCAACCAGTCAGAGAATTACTGTGAACCTTTGTGAATCGTATCTTAATAAAACTTTAATAATTTGGCAAGGAATGCTACATGTAATGAAAAGCTGCCTTTACTGCATGAATTCTTTACTGCACTGCAGGCTGTAAATGTGTTCTGCTGTTTGAATACAACAGTAAGTGGGCTGTGAGCAAAATAGATCTTGCTCTGGTGCAAGTCCCAGCATGGGATAACTTAATTTTGACCTGGAGATTTTTTATCTGGTAGATTGAACTCTGGTTTAAAAAAAATAATGCAACAGCTGTTGTTGTTTCCCTCAAGTTATTGTTGAAGCTGTTCCCTCTTTCTGTTTTTGCAGTTTGTCGTTCCAATAAAAGTCCGTGGGTCTGTTTAACGTGTTCGAGTGTTCACTGTGGAAGGTAAGGTTAATATTCTGCAAAATCTAAAAGAAATCTAAAAGTGTGTTATACACTAGTATTTATTTTCTTCACTGGCTCTTTTCAGTGGTAATTGCTGAGTAAAAATGAGGTGCATAGTAGCCTTCGTCTCTCTTCAAATTGAGCCATACTGTCGTACTGTAACAGATTGCAATCACAGCATGATTTTTTAAAAACTTGCTGCAGTGAATAGCAATTGTTGTCAACCTTTTAATAACAGCAATATTTTTAATATTTCTTGTCCTCTAGCTGTGCTGTTATAATTTAATGTAGTGTGGCCTGGAAATTGTCAGACTAAAGTTTCTACAACGGTAGGTAATAATAAAGCAATTTGTAATTTTACTTGTAGTGCAGGAATTGTAAAACGTTTTATTTTTTGCTTGTGGGACTGCAACGCATTAATCTGGAGACGAGCATACCTGAAATGAAATCTCAAATCTACATGCTGTGATAATGGCTACATCCAAAACACACGATAAAATTATAGCTAACTTAATATTCAAATTATGCTATTTAATGTAATGGTTTTAGGATAAGGTTTTAATGGTACATACTATACTTTAGAATTGAAGAAACATTCCCAGAATGGTGTGGCATATTTTGTTTTCTAATGTTCTCTGAATATTTGTGGAGGCGATTTGGTATAATTTTATGTGTGCTTTATCCGTTAATAACACAAAGGCAAAATCCAGTGATTTCAAAGCCACCATAGGCCAATGAAAGGAATAATTAAATCTTGCGAGGATGTTGCACATTTTAAAAATACATTCTCTCCAATTGCCTCTCAGTATTCTCCAGCAGAGATACTTGGTTGTTATGTGAACTTCTCCAGTAGCAGTATTTCTTTGTGAGCAGTCCGCAGGTGTAATTGGAGGAAAAAAAACAAGCCATTTTATTATTATTCCTCTCTCCTCATGCATCAGTTTTACCCCACTGTGTTGCTCACTCCAGTATGCTCGGGCAAGATCAGACCAAACTCCCAGTTACACAATCCGGTTGGAATGAATTGGTGCTTCAAGCTTCTGGTTGGGAGAAAAGTACTCTTTTTGGTTCTACACCATTCTGATGTTGCTTGGGTTACAATGTGCTTGTTAGGGTTTCCTCTGAAAATCTGCAACCATCATGTGCCAGTTTATGCCTGGTAGCTGCAATGTATTGCATCACTACTAAACAACTTTAGCAGTGATACAGTATATTGCAGCTACCGGACATGAGTAATATCACTGATGTTTTCATTGTAGTAACACTAAAGATCATAAATGCTCATTATTTAGCCTAGCTGCAAACCTACGATACCTGATATTGGTGTGTGTGTGTGTGTATATATATATTATATATAATATATTAACATTAAACCTTCCTAATTACTACATGTTACAGAATGCACAATACTCCACTAGTGGCTAGACCAGCCCTGAGTGCAAGTATCATGTCCTGTACTCTGTTTTTTCTCCTATCATAAGTATTAATAATCCTAGTGTTTAATGTATCACTTTGTCGATCAGTCGCAAAGTACATGACCAATTCCCTCAGTCACTTCCTTAAATACCCTTGTGTCTGCACTATTGGGGTCTGGTCAGGGTGATCTTTAATGCCTTTGTCTTATTGCATCTGCATTTACAATATCCTTTGTTCTCAAATATCTCAGAAATCTGAATTCCCCATACTTCATTCTGCACCATTTTTCAGGACATGTGTTCGATACATCTAATCATTTTCCTCTGACTGGATCTAGTCAGTCCATGGCACTGGAAATAATCCTGAGATTAAAGAGCAGGGCCTCAAGGCTAGTAATCTATTGCTTAATTCCTCAAACTCGCCCAATAGGACTTTCAGCCTATTCCTACATCATTGGTTCCTGTATGAGTCATGATTTCTCATTGTTGCTCTCTTTTGAATAATTTTATGACCTGCTTGGCTAGCTCTTTGAAACCTTGGTACCTGGGAGGTACCATATCATGTAGTACTCGAGCTTCTGTCTGCAAACAAGACTAAGCTCTTCAAATGTAGCTGCACATCCTATTCATTTTGTTTATTGTCTTATACTGTAAAACATGCATCCTTAGCAGGGTTTTTTCAACTATCCCCTTGGCAAATTCAAAGTATATGTGTGACTAGTGGCTTACCAACATCACTGCATGTATAGGGATAACCTTTTTGTTGTGGCTTACAATTTAAATCCATGACTGTTCAGAATGAGGGATGCGGGAATCACTTTGTTTAAACTACAGGAGATTGCTTTTGCAATAAGTCTTCAGGAGATTGCTGTAAAAATAAAGGTGGTGCTCATTTAAAAAGAGTGAAGTTCTGTTGCATCTCTGTTATGACTAGAAATTTTTAGGCTACACCCTAATAAATAGTACTTGTACTAATTCTTGCATTCCTCATTCTTGTATTTATAGATACGTGAATGGACATGCCAAGAAACACTATGAAGATGCCCAGATTCATTCCAATAGCCTTAGGAAGTCAGAAAAACACGAAAAAGAAAAGTTGCAGCATGCAGTGTGTATGGATTGCAGCAGTTACAGCACCTACTGGTTTGTGATACCTTTAAAATATTATGATTGTGCATAATTGCCAATTTGTTTGAATTTCCTCAGCTATACATTTCCTCAGATTATAATAGTGTGTGTAATTTTGATATCTCAGACTACTTTATTTAATTTGTTGGCTGAAGAACTTCCAACAAGTCCGGTTGTCGTTGAATTTTAGCCATATATGTAATTTTTTACTATCCAAAAGGATGTTTATCTCAGGGAAACAATTAAAGCGGACAAACACTGTTTTTCATCACTTCAAATCTGCAGTGATGTTTTGGATAAATTCTATATCTATAAACGGGTTGAAAAATAGAAATTTGTTGAATAAGTTTCTTTAGAGAAATGCAAGACACAGTTTTGAATAGTCATTATTAACCTTTGTAAATGTTTTTGATTGGAAAGTATATTGTCTTCTGTCTTAGTAACCAAAAGTTTACTGCAGTATATTTCACCCTTTTATAGGGGGAATTTAACAGCAATGCTTTATATGCAGCAATGCTGCCATGGTTGTATGAAGGTACAATAATGCAAACTCTGATGGTGCTTGGAGCTGACTGGCTTTATTCAGCAGATCTAGTGGGAATTGCTCTTATTCTGCAGCACTGTTCTGCAGCTTTTGCAGGTCACTTTGTGCTCGGCTTTCCAAATTACACGTAGCATTGCCAATCAAAAGCCCAAGTAGTTTCTGTAACTTGATGTAGAAAGATAAAAACACAAATACTGAATTGTTAAGTCATTCTCTCTTCCAGAGCTTGAATTTCAATTGGAATTCCGATGAGCAATGTATTGTTTTGTATGATTGCAATGGTCATAAAATACTGAAATCTAACATTGCTGCTGATCCTTCTGTAGAAGCACAAGTGCTTGAATTATCTTAAGCTTTAGAACAATGCCTACACATTTACTTGACAGGATCCATTCTCAAAGAATTGCCAAAGTGTTTAGGCCACGTTGAAGTATCAATTTTAACCCTTTCATTGCCTACACATGTTTCAAAAAAAATTCCAAATACTTTCTTCCAAAATTGCTGATGACAACTAGAAGAATGGTGAGGAAGGGGGGTTAGAATTTTTTTTATTGAAAAAAAGTGGAAACTACTATTATTATTATAATAATAATCCTTGCATTTGGTATAGTTAAATTGACTTTGCAGTGTACTTTGTGAATCGCTTTGAGACGTCTCAAAGACGTGATAGGGCTCTACAGCAGATGCAAGGATTATTATTATTATATCTCCGTCAAAAGTGATCAATGTAAATTTGTATTGTATCCTCGCTGGGCCCCACTGTCTGCTCGAGCATCAACTCCCCGACCCTCTTTCTGACCTCAGATTCTTCACAGTCTCACTCCTTGCTATCCCTGCTGTCTCCTACCTCGGCCCCTGCTCTGCTGCTCAATGCCTCTTCCTTCAGTGACGGCACCTTCAGCTTTTACTTTGGATTGTGCTCTCCATTTCCCAGTCTCGAAAGACATTTCTCTCTTGACTCTGCATTCGGTCAACACCTTGACCCCGTTTCCACTTTTGAAGCCATCCACGGTTTTGCTCCTCCCTACCTCTGCCACCTATTAACACCAAACCAACCTTTCCACTCCCGTTCCCCCCGCTCAGTGGGCACTGGGGTGTTCCATGTTCCCTGCCCTGCCGATTAATACAATAATAATAATAATTTTGTCGCTCATTCCACGACTGCTTGTGAGATAATGCCATCACCCAGAGGATCGAGTTCAAGATCCTCGTCTTCACATTTAAGGCCATCCATGGCCTTGCCCCCTCCTACCTCTGACCTGCTGACTCGCTACCAACCTGCCCGCACCCTCCGTTCAGCGGGCTCCAGCCTGCTCCAGGTCTCCCACCCTATCATCGGTGGCTGGGCTTTCAGCCTCTCTGCCCCCACACTCTGGAACTCCATCCCATGGTCCCTTCTCCTTGCTTCCTCCCTTGCCTCCTTCAAGGCCGGTCTCAAGTCCCTTCTCTTCGATCATGGCTTTGGTCACCTTCCCACCTCTTTGCCTTTCCTCACCCCTGTATCACCGCTCCCCCATGCTCGGGCCCCGACACCTAACTGTTCAGCGCTTTGGGACGTCCTCCCGATGTGAAAGGCGCTCTATAACTGTAATTTTGTTGTTGTTGCCTTATCACATCATTGAGACGCCTCAAAGTGCTTCACAGAATATATTGTAAAGGCGGCAGCCAGTTGCGGACAGCAGTGTCCCACAAACAGTCGTAGATTGAGTGACCGCATTTCTTTTTGATCGGATTATAACCCCCGGAAACAATCCACAAATCAACTAACAACTGGGTTCCTAAATTTAGCTCACCAACAATTTCTAATTTTGCGCTATTATTAATAAAAATAATAATAATCCTTGCATTTGATATAGCACCTTATCATGTCTTCGAGACGTCTCAAAGTTTATTTTTTATCAAAGTTTTTTATCTATTAAGAAAGAAATTGAGCCAGAGAGAGAGATGGCGAGAGATGGGAGGAGACAGAATTAGAGTTAGAAAAAGGGAAGAAGGCAACTGACACTGTGTGTGTTTCTATTGTAAAATGCTTTGTAAAGTTATGTATTTTAGGTTGGGTCAGTACAGTAGTGTTCAAATAGCCACTACAGCTGTAAAACTACTATTTCAGTGCAGCAGCTGATAATGTACAGAATTTCTTCCAGAGCCTTAAGTGTCTGCAGACTTACTGACTCCGTTAAGGATTATTTATGATAATTATTTATGTTTTGGGGGAAACTTGCAGAGGTCCTGAGGCAATATCTGAGAAGGATCTGGCTTGGAATGCTTTTAAGAATTGCAGTATCACTGCCCTAGTTTCCCAGTTGTTGAAACTTTGAAGTTGAGTTGCACAGCTAAGAAAATGTGACTCAGTACTTTCTGTCATTCTTCCTTTGTGCTGTAATTAAAAATGCAGAACTTAGAAAGTGAATTCCCTTGAGATTGTTACAAACTTTTGAATAAGTGACAAACAGTTAAAAATCGAAGACTTGTTATCTTAAATGCAGTAATGGCATCACAGTTTCATGTAAATGTTCCATTGGGAAGTTGAGCTGTTAATTTGTGCTATACAAATATATTAACTTAGATGGAACTGTTGTTTATTTTACTTTTGAATGTATAATGAATATTCTTTCAAAAGATGAAACATGCTGTCGAACTCATTTACAGAGCTGGTTAACAAGCATTTGGCCAACGTTTTAGTAATTAAAACAAAAATTAGTAGAATTGACTGTATCTTAAGAATCGTTCAAATGTTCACACGTTTTCTCTTCCTCTTTCTGATCTCTTTCTCCATACTTTGAGGATTGCTATCTCTTGATTTGAAAACCTCACTGATGCATCACAGATGTTCAGTTGGAATGAAAGTTTCCCAACAGAATTTGGAACTATTGTGCTGCACTTTGAGATCTGAATTTTGTTTAGGGTCATGGTTTACTTCGGGTCATCCTTCTATGTAACGGTTTTAATAAATCCTGACCTCCCTTAATATTGCAAGAATGATCCGATTCTGCTGGTCATAGTAATGTGATTGGTAAATATTATTTCTATAAACACAATAGTCTATTTTCTTAAATATTTTTGTAATTCTCAAAAGTTGCACATTATGTCAAATTTGATTTTAGTGTAATAACTAAGGATTGATAGAATGGAAAGAAAAGGGCTAACGAGAGTTTATTAATGTTTTTTTACTTCTAGTTACAGATGTGATGATTTTGTGGTGAACGACACCAAATTGGGCCTAGTACAGAGGGTCAGAGAGCATCTGCAGAACTTGGAGAAGTATGTGTGAAAGTCTTTATTGGTTTACAGTAATAACCCAATTGTCCTAAAAGCCTAGTACAACAAATTCATGTGTATTTTAAGGTAGATAGATTTCGAAAAATGTAAAATGGAAGCAGCTGTTAGAAAGCATTCCAATTCAGTGACCAAAGTAGACTGAGGTAATGTATAATGGGATTTTTTTTTGCTATCAGTTTTGTCCATAATTTTAAAAATACTTGTGGATTAAACGATGGTGGTAATCCAATAATCATCAACAACTTGTATTTACATGACGCCCCTCATCCAGAGCGCTAGTGCAATGTGTCCATGCTTACAAATTCTTCATGCTATGGTGCTGGAGAGTTAACCTGCCAAGTCCAGGTGCTTTTCCTACACGGGGAAAATCAGAGAGAAATTTGCTAACCATAACTAATTCAGTGCTTAGTATTAAGTTGAGAATATTTTTATGATGATCTATTTAGTTTGTTTGAACAATCTGGTAGTGCCCTTTCCTGTTTGATATATTAGCCTTGTTGAGCTGCTTTATTTCTGCAGTTCCTTTTCAAATGATCACGAGTGAGCTAAAATTACATCTTAGGACTTTCCCTCCCCAGTGGGGACAGTTGAGTGATATAAACAATGGGTGTCAGCACTGGTCTGCTACTGACAATATTGTCATTGCTGGCAAATTACTCCTTATACTGCAGACTTCAGATTCACTGTAGCATGAAATCATTGCTAGTTCTGTGACTTGCCCTGTAGAATTTATAGATAGAGTTAAGTGGAGACTGGGGGGGGGGGGGGCTTCTTACTCATAATTTAATATTTTTGTAAAAGTAGTGTGTCTGATTTGTAAAATACATTTATGGACTTAGAATTGAAATTAAGTAAAAATGTACTGTCTGACCATGTTGTTTGGATTTTAAGTGTGTATCCTCGTTTAATTTTATTTCTGATGCACATTTTATTGCATACAATACTCAGTAAATCTTTATTATTTCAGTTCAGTGTAGGCAATATGTGACCTATGTTTTCAAATCTCTTCTTGATTTTAGCATCTTTATTTTGGTGGAAATGTTCATTGGCTTGTAAGTTTATAGAAATTCAGTATGGAGCATATAAGGTATTGGTGTTGGTTGCCTTATTGTTGTGTAATACAGCTTGTGGCTAGTAATAATTAGCAAAAGATGGGTATATCAGACAATTTCACTGGTGCTATTGAATTCACATATTTTCATTAGGAGTCCTGTAGCTCAGTGGTTAGAGTACTCGTCTCACAAGCGAGAGACCTGGGTTCTATTCCCAGCAGTTGGGCAAGTTTCCTTACTCTACACACCTCTGGTTACCTAGCAGTAAGTAGGAACTTGGTTGTTAGTCGATTGGTGGATCACTTTTCTGGGGATAATATTCCTTAAAAAAAAATTGGTCGCTCAATCCACGACTGTTTGTGGGACACTGCTGTGTCTGCAATTGGCTGTCGTGTTTCGTCCACAAATATACAGTCCATTCACTTTACAGTATATTCTGTGAAGCGCGTTGAGACGTCTAGAAGATGTGAAAAGCGCTATATCAAATGCAAGGATTATTTTTCATCTTTCTATTAAGAGTGACCATATTGAAACTAGATGGCCTGAGCTTGAAATGATTGACCTTTCTGAAAACGACAAGGCAGTCGAGTTCAGAATAGCAAAACCTCAGCTTTACATTGGCTAGGGATGGAGGAATATTACAATCTTCCTGTAGATACATTCAATCTGCCTATGGGAGAAAAGATGAAATGTTTTCCGACTGTCCTCTTTCCCTAATACATTTTGAAACAATTTCTAGCCTAGCCTGTCCAACTGCTTTCCAGTGCAAAGCAACAATGGTGCTTTGGCTGCTTTCCAATCGGCCTCACCTTTGTATTGTGTAAACTATGAGGAAATCTAAGAAGAGTCTGGATTAAAATGCTGATTAAAATGCGTAACTTAAAAATCCTGAACGGAGCAATATTTTCTGGCCAACTTTCCCACCATAGGCAGCCTATAGTTCCTAATAGTAATATTGTCAATCTTAGTATTTTTAAACTGTTATCTTTTGGAGACTTGGCTAAATGGATTTGTTCTCTCATCCATGTATTCTCTGCTCGTCTGCTTGTGTGAACGTGAGCAGGGTCTGTGCTGAACCAGAAAATCTATTTACCACTTGTCTAGGGATTGAGGAGAGAGAAGTTAATTGTTTTTTTCTTTCCTGCTCATTTTTACGTCCTATAAGGATGGTCGCTATTATGTGGTATTTTAGGTTCCATTTTCAGTGTCCCAGAAACCAGTACACGGTGCCTTTCGGCTAATCTCCTGTTCTACACAAAATGGTATCTTTTTTTGTGCACTCTACTCGATCTATCCTGACTTTGATAACTGAGTCATAAAAATGCCTTGTTGTCAAGGGGACCTTCATATCACCATTGCAAGATACTAGATGTGCTAACCCTTAGACTGCTAGCAGATTTATAAAAAATCCTGCCTCTGTAGGCTGTGCCCACTTCTGTATGTCATCGCGCACACTATTGAAGAAAACAGCACAAAGTTTCTACTCTTGTGTTGGGGGCAGGGTGGGGATTTGCAAACTGGGCAAACCACAGGATTAGAACAATGCCTGCCATTGTGGCCATGTTTTCGGTTTAACATCAGTTAACTAATCTGCATGAGTTTCAAAGGTGAAAGCTTAATGCAACAGCCACTAGATAAGTCTGTTTGAATTGAATGGGGACATATAGTTCCACTTTTTTTAATGGAATCAACAAGTGACTTGTAAATCAGAAAATCAGTATTTGTATGAGTTTGTGGAGGACACACAATTAGACATTTACTTGAACTGAACGCATCCATTGTTTTACTTTCAAAATGGAGGTATTACACCTTCTAAGCTATCTCCCTTTAAAAAGCTTTTAAAATATGTTTTCTCTTTCCTCCCTCTGCAAATGACAAATTTAAGGATATGCAAAGCAAAATATCCTCTGTTCTGTGGCTTGGTCTCAAAATTGGGGATGCTAAAACCTTTCAGCCTGATGCTTAGAAAAGAACCCAGGTTTTTATTTTTCTTATCCACAGATTTCTTATTTAATGAATGACTTTGGTGACTAAATATAAAAATGAATTGTCAACTGTATTTTTTTAAAATGCTGTTTGCGTGCTGAGTCTGGAGTTAATGCAGTTTTGTTACAAATTCTAATGGTATGACTAATTTTCATTGAAAATAAAATCTGATTTTTTTCTATATATAATAAATTTATATGAAAAATGTATTGAATACGCCCAAAACTCTTAAAACAATGACCAATATGTTTGCATCAGCATTGTTAGAAATAGTTTTAAAAAATTCTACTGGGTAAGAAAAACGTGTTTTCCTTGTGAGAAATCAGCCTATTGAGAAATCGGAATTTACCATGTCTCAGCTAGAAAAGCTAAAAAAGATAATGTAGATTCTGTAGCATCCAGATAAGTACTAGCATCTTCATATGCTTCACATTGTTTAAAATGATCTTTACATTGAGAAAGTAGCAGTTAAATGGTTTATTTCTGGAGCCCACAAGACATTTACTCATCTGATATTCTCCAAAGCTATGTTCACCTTCCCAACCTCAACATGTGCGCTTATTGTCTTTTGCCCATAGTCAGACGTGAGTGGAAATCTGATCTTTGGCAACTGAGGATTTTTTTTCCTTGTAATTACAGGTTGAGGCACATAGGAAATCTTAATTTTTTATGGTCTCTATAGGAATTTGTCTCTTTAGAATAGCAACATGACTGAGCAACATCCTGAATAATTGGAACTCAATTCAAAGTATTGAGAATAAATATATTTTATAAAAGCTGCACATGACTTGTGCAGCATGACATGCTGTTCATTTGGCGAAAATGATGTGCACTCTAACATGTCCTTTTATCGTGCAGTTCAGCATTTTCAGCAGATAGGCACCGGAAAAAGAAAGTTGATGGAAAGTTCGTCTATGAACAGCAAGTATGTGAAGGTCAATGTAAGTACACTATACATCAATTAGTGGGAACCTTGTTAATGGAAACTTAAGCAATATTTGCTCATCTGCCAAATCATTGCTCATGCATTCAACATGAGCATTATTAAAGACCCATTGGATAAAAGGATATTATTTCTGCTTGCAGTGGGGGTTATAGCCATTAGACTTTTAGCCTCCACAAATTGGGTTTCTTTTTCAGGTTATTGTTAAGAGACTTGCCCCATTTTGAGTGCACAACTCTTGGGAGACAGATTGTCCTTAACAAATTTCTTACCCAAGGTCAGCTAATCTTTTAAACCGTGAAGGAGACTGCCTACATTTCAGTTGACCTAGGGTGCCGAGATTCTGCAGTTGTTTTTCAACATTTTGAAAAAAAATCTTCGAATGATGATCTGTATAATTATCTCTATAGGATAGGAAACCTATAATTAGACATGGTACAGAATACAAATTGACTACATTGTTGACTGAAAAATACTTCCACCAGGAGTTATCCTGTTGTTACAGTACTGTACCACAATCTGTGACCTGTTCTCTCAAAACTCAGCCACTCTCTTGATTCCCCCTCCCCCCCCCCCCCCCCCCCCCCGCCTCTGGATCTTGTTTTCTATTTCTGTCTCAATCTCTTTCTCTGACTCTAACCTATATTAAAGCACCTTGAATAAAGACATGCCATGTGCTGCGGTTCTTAGAAAATCCAGTTCTACTCATGTAAAATTTGCATGAGAAGCTGCAAGGGTCAAGATGTACTCGAGATCGACATTTCATGTTATTTAAATAGTTTTCAGAAGGAAAGCTTTGGAAATAGCCAAAGAAATATTGCAATAAGCTGCTGCAATAATATTTTAATATTAATTTTGTTAATGTCGCAAATTTACGAAAATCTTAACTTTGCTTCTGGAAACTTTTGTTTTGGCCTTTTTCTGTGTATCTACGTACAGAGATTCATAATAAAATCTTGAAAACATTTACCGGGAGTGTGTGTATATAAAAGAAATTCAACTTTTTATAATTATTATTGTATCTCTGAGAGTGATTGTGCAGCGTCCTCTCATTAGGACCACATTTGATAGTGGTTTACCTGATTCTTTTGACAGGGAGGGACCTCTGCCATTTGTGCTACAGGCCTTCGGAATCTTGGGAACACTTGTTTTATGAATGCCATCCTGCAATCCCTCAGGTACCTTTGTGTTCAGAATTGAGACTTGTACAGATGTGCAGTCAGCAACCCATGGGAATCCTATCATATCATTTTATATATGTCCGCATTTCTACCCAAACCTTCGCTGTGGTTTTTATACGTACTCTGCCTGAATACACTCATTATGATAGAATCCAAATTACTGAGGCTGGGTTTCAGAAAGCGTGCTTCCTCAGTGAGTATGCTTCTGTTCAACTTGGTGCGGGGCTCTGTTGCTACAATCTGCCAAATTGGAACGATACAACAGTAAACATATGGTAACCTGTAAATTAACACTTGGATGAACGGCACCACCGCGTGATGGGGACACATTTACATTTGGAACTTATGAGCATGACTAAACTTCTAAATTCACTGAAGAATAGGCGAAAGCAGGTGAGGTTCCCAACTTTTAATTTTTGGTACCAAATCTTTCTCTTCCCTCTTCTACTACCCCCCCCCCCCCCCACACACACACACACACATTGGGTGTCAACTCTGGTACCTCGGCGTAGATTTCATTCTTCATGTAGGAGTCTGCATAGTATCTATTTGATACTGGTGGGAACCCACAAACAAACTGAAGCAACCGAACAAACTGGTTTAACAATACCTCTGGTGGTGGAGATCTAGAAATTCGGATTACATAATTTGTAGTACACTATTATTCCATAAGACAAGAAAGCTTTCCATCATTAGATGGACACAGAGTAGTTAGTTACTTCCCTGCTAAATGATGTGTGCTGGTCACCATTTAGTACCTAATACTGATGTGGAGTTCCTTCTGCTATTATTGATCTGATTTCATTTTTTTAAATTGCAGTAACATTCACCAGTTCTGCTGTTACTTCAAAGAGCTCCCAGCAGTGGAGTTGCGAAGTGGTAAAACTGCAGGTAGAAGAACCTACCACACGAGGAGCCAGGGAGATAATAGTGTGTACGTTGCTGCTTTTCTTTGCCTATTGTTAGTGTATTTATGAGCACAAAAGTGTGGGGGGGGGGACCTTTATTGTAAGCACAGTCTGCATTAACCTCTACAGCTCAAGCATTTAATGTAAACATTACTTATTTATTCTTCAGTTTATTAAAGATGAATTTTCTTTTTAATTTTTAAAGTAGAAGTTATAACTAAGGATTTGTTGAATTCACACTATACACATAGCACAGATATGAATTAATACACTATTCATGGCCCTACAATACCACAGAGCTAATCCCCATTACTGGAAATGGTTTGGCTCAAGTAGTTAATGATCCATTAGATTTACTGCTAATGTTTATTCTTTCTACAGTAAAGTTTTAAGATGTATTTTTCAATGACTGAAAATATCTTTGTATGTTGGATGCTTTTGATAGTACACTATTTGAGAACATAGGATATGTATTAGAATAATTAATAACAAACTTTTGTTTTTGCTCCCTTGCTAAATGGTCTAGTTCTTTGGTAGAAGAATTCCGAAAAACTCTCTGCGCCTTATGGCAAGGAAGCCAGACAGCATTTTGTCCTGAATCTCTGTTCTATGTCATTTGGAAGATCATGCCAAATTTCAGGTAGGCAACAGGGAGAAATCTATTGATTTGAATAGGAGAAGTGGTATATTCATCAGATTCTTCCCTTTTTCACAAATGCGTAATGGCTATGAAAGTTTCTTGTCTTGTGTATATTTCAGCAAGTATTCACCGTGCTTTGTATTTTCTTATCTATTTCTATCTTAATGCAAACTCGGTTTTCACCTACCTATTTCAATGCGAGTGAAAGATTCAGGTTCATTTAATTCACAATATTTTCCATTTCTATTCTTGTTTGTGCAGGGGATATCAACAGCAGGATGCTCATGAGTTTATGCGATATCTGTTGGATCATCTACACTTAGAGCTTCAGCGGAGCTACAATGGTATGACAACTTCATTTATTTCGCCAGGCAGCTCAAGCATCTCTCCAGGCAGTAAATGCTGCATGTAAGTCCCTGATTTGGTTTGCTCTGACTATCAATATGGAGCAATTCCTATTGTTCTTATATTTAGTACATGGTTAACTTTGCCCATTCCATTTATTGTAACATGATCCCTTTCATGAGTACATATTCCAGAATGGTTTTGGAAAACTTTCTAAACAGTCAGAGACTTTTTTTAAGTTTATATTTGCATGTCTGTAGAATTGTTTTTCATTGATTTCCATAACCTGCTGTGCTCAACCTCAAGATTTTTTGTGAGCTCTCTTCATGATCTCCTGAATCCATCCACTGAATTTTCATACTTCCACTTTTCTTAATGATGTAACATGAATTGAATACATAAAACAATGCAAAGTTTCAACTTTAAAAGAGTGTTTTATGCTAATTATGATCGCAGATTGGAGGTGATGGGAACAGTCCAAAATGCACTACTTGTTTCATGTTTCTCATGTAGATCATAGATGAATTTATTACAAGTGCATAGAATTCAAAACTTTGCTGAAAGAAGGCAAAGATTCCTAGCGGTTCTTGCCTTAAAATACTTGTTACTCAAATACTTTTTTTTAAATTGTTCAGAATACTTCATTTTGTGGTTTATACATTGTTGTGATATTACTGCAGTGCATGACTATTGCATTTAGGAAGAAGTTGCTGCTTTGTAAGTTTACCATCACTGATAGCACTTCATTCACTTTCAGAAATGGTGCTTCAACAGTTGTCACTAATATATTTGGAGGAATACTTCAGAACGAAGTAAACTGTTTAATTTGTGGGACCGAATCCAGAAAGTTTGATCCATTCCTTGGTAAGAAGTCTGTTTCCATGTTCTTTTTTTTAAAAGGAGAAAGTCACAGGTTTGATCTCGTCTGCGGTGGCAGTAGTGGTGCTAAAATTGGTCCCAGTATGAATATCCCCTGCTGGAAATGTACGTGTGTGGATATTGAATGAGGCAAGACTGTTCGGTTAAGATGTCTGCCACAGTGGAACAAGCTTACATTATTCATTGTCTCCAGTAATATATAAGAGAAATTGGTTAAATAAAAGTACCAGAGAGTAGTTCTGCACATATAAATTGCTGAGGGAAGGCAAAAAATGTAAGGTGATTTTTCTCTTTTTTTCCCTCCTACCCCAGAAAACCTAAACATTGTAATGAGATACTATTAACATTTTGTCTTCTAGATCTTTCGCTAGATATCCCAAGTCAGTTCAGAAACAAGAGATCCAAGAATCAAGAAAATGGACCAATATGCACTCTCCGTGGTAAGGCTATGTTTGCTGCTTTGCCTTTGGATGTCCTCCCAACCTGAAAGGCGCTATACAAATGTAATTTGTTGTTGTAGCTTGTGTAAGTGCTGGAGATATGATTATAAAATGGATCGATTTTCCAGTAGTAATGGGCAAGCTTACAGAAAGTAATTGTGTTAGCAGACAAGAGGAAGGGAGCAGTTTGAGGAAGGAAGCAGTTTGAGGGTTTCTGACAAGACAAGAAACTGACCACTTAGCTTCATTGTTGCTGAAATATTTAAATGTACTTGTTTACATTCTTTTATCAAGCATTGATTGACTGAGCCTTCTGTGAATTTTGGTTTACTTACTTAGTCAGTACAAGCTTTACAGATTAATGGAGCTCTAACAGCCAGATAAATGGTGATTTGCAACACCACAGAGAATATCAGTTCTTGCTCAGTGTTTAGAGAGTTGTTCATTGTCGTCTGTTTTCCTGTAGATTGCCTACGCAGTTTCACAGACTTGGAAGAGTTGGATGAAACTGAGCTGTACATGTGCCACAAATGTAAAAAGCGACAAAAATCCACAAAAAAATTTTGGATTCAAAAGTTGCCAAAGGTTAGTTCTGTATTTTGTTTCCTGTACTATTTTTAAAAGAAAATAGTTTATCTTTCTAAATTTTACATTGGTAAATTTTGCAAACGTAGATCTCAGTTCTGTCACTCAGCTATGTTGAGATGTTTTGGGTATTGGTGAACAAAGCTGTGAGCGTTAAACTTTGGTGCCTTATAGGTTGAGGGAATCGTCTTGACAGAACTGAGGTCTATATTTTATGTGAAAGGTGCAACATAAATACAAGCAACAATTTGTATTTATGTTATACTTTTCACATAAAGGAATTTTCTCAATGCACTTTACAGAATGAAATTCGAAATGAAGTGAATGATATATAGGCTAACCTGGTGTTAATATGTGATAGCAATTTCCTAAAAACAACAATGAAATGAGTAGCCAATTGATTTGAATTTGGGGTCATTTTTTCTTCGAGGCCTTGGGCCTTTATTATGAAAGAAACCCCATTGCTCGAATTTGCAGAACTTCTCCAGTGACTAAATCCAGTATTGTGTAACTAATGCATTTGCACTGAAACCACATTCTGAAAATGTCCAGGTGGTTAAACGGTCGGTGTAATCTACTGTATTGTCCCCTAATTGTTGAGGTAACTTGTGATCTTTCCCTCCCTTGAATTTTAGGTATTGTGTTTGCATCTGAAAAGATTTCATTGGACAGCATATTTGCGAAACAAGATCGATACGTATGTAGAATTTCCTCTACGAGGCCTAGACATGAAGTGCTTCTTGTTGGAGGTATTTGTCCTGTTTTAAATTTTTATCAGCTGCTGCAGTTGTATACCAGGATACAAATGATAAATATTGAACTATAGGATATTTTATCAACTATTTAAAGTAGAATCTGCTTAGAAGGCATAGGTGTGTATCAAATGCGTTAACATTGGTGCATTTGCAATGTCGTGTTAATCTGTGATAATTGGTTCAATGCAGTTTTTATCCTGCATTTGCTATTCAGTGCTATCAATAAATTTGCCCTTATTAGTGAGGTATGCTATTTAGAAAGATTGAAATGAAAACTGGTCAAAAGATGATCCAAATGCTGAGTACTTCTCATTATCGAGGTCCACATGTAGTTCGGTTCTTTTGTTTAATGGAATTTGTATACAAATTGTATTTAATATTAAAAACATTGAAGAAAGACTGAGCTGTAAAAATGAAAATCTTGATAACTTGTCATTCAGGTTCAGTTTGTAAAGAGAGGATGTGGTGTGCTTAACATCCCTTTTAATGAATTGAAGGTTGAGGCTTACATCAATATTTCTAACAGAACTCTTTACATTTGTCCTTTTCTAGCCTGAAAACAGTGGTCCAGATAGTTGCCTTTATGACCTTGCAGCTGTAGTGGTACATCATGGATCAGGGTAAGTACATGTGAGGTTGTGAAACCCTTTTTATTCTTCATCCAGTAGTTAACCTATATTTTGCTGGAGCTTGCATAAGCTTTTATCTAAATGACTTTTTAATTTTCAAAAGTCTGCTGTAATTTAATTCTTAAGCATGTTTTTAACCTAGACCTTTTAAGTAACATAATTGCTGAAAATTTGAATTTTTCCAGTCTTGAGGAGGGACACAGTGTTGAAATGTTGATATTGTTCCAATTAATCAATTTTGCTGGTTTGTTGCTTCTAATCCCAAATCATTTGTTGTCTAGTTCAGAATCAATAAGATTTTTGTTCTTTCAGTTTTGTATAAAGCAAAATCAGTGATGGAAGAATTCATAGTCTGTGAAGTAATATTGTTTTTTTTCCCCTCTTAGGGTTGGTTCTGGACATTATACTGCATATGCAACCCATGAAGGTCGCTGGTTCCATTTCAACGACAGTACTGTTACTTTGACTGAAGAGGAAACTGTAGTGAAGGCCAAGGCCTACATCCTGTTCTATGTGGAACGTCGGACCAAATCAGGATCAGGCACCAAGCTTTAATGCATCCCACCCTTTTTATATAAATGTTCCCCAAATAAATACTGCATTGGAGCGCACACAAACTGTTCCACATTTCCATGAGTACTTGATAAATCAAGACTATTTTCATCTTGCACTTTTAAATCGCTGATGAGAATTCTGTTTATTGCACCATTACTAGTGTTGATACAGTAATCGAGGACACTTGATCTAATTTTAGCCTACCAGAGAACCTCAGCAGAATACTTTCTAATTGTAATGACTGCTGTTAATCAAGAAATTGGAAACATTGTCATTTGAAATTAAATGACTTGTTTGCTCGAAACGTGGCATAGCATTTCCTTGCTTCAAGGTGCATTTGCATTGATATCTCCAAACCTTTTACAATACATTGTAGTTGGTGAGATTTTTTTTTAATATATTGAGCCAAGATTCAGAGGTCTTTTTTTTGCATTTATCAATATTCCTGTTGTGTAAATAACTATCAGTTTACCTTCTAAGTAACAACATAAAATGGTTTAAGTAACTGTTGAAAATTGTTGCATGTGCATTTATTGGCGAGTTGATGATCCTTTTCGTAGTCTACTAAAACCCTTCCTCTGCAAAAAGCAAATGGGCACCCCAAAGCTACGCCAAAAGCTGGGGACAGTTGGTGCAAGAATGCTGTTCAGTATTATGAGATACATAAAGTGTAAATGCACCTTGACTCTGAAGTGCTATACCTTAACCTTACTAATTAGTACATTTGTATCTGCCCAGAATTCTTTTTTTTTGTGGAAATTGATCATTATTCTGTCTGTAATTGTCAGTTGTGTTTTTTTTTGCCACTCTTCGCTTCTGTGACCACTTTCAGACACTGGTAAATCAGAACAAAGGCATTCTGCCTCAATATTCACTTGTACTGCACAATTGATTTTGTGTTTTTTTTATGTTAGGTATTCAGTTCCGTTTTTTTAAAAAAAAGTTCTCATTTTGTTGGTATCACTAGACACTTTTGCATATTTCAGAAGACGTAAGCAATTAAAAAAATTACGGAGAAACATAAATTCATTAACTCTCATCCAAATACTTTGCTGGGCAGAGTAGGGCTGTCTGCATCACGTGGTGGCAATGAACGGCTAAGATTTGATTGGACAAAAGGTGGTAAGAATGGTTTATGATTTGCAGTGTTCCCTGATTAAGAAAGCAAATTTATAGACACCTGGGTTACTTTATAGGGAAAGGGGTGTATTTTGACAAATTTGTGTCTCCATTTATTGTATGCAGTATGTGACACAAAATGGTGGTTACAGCTTTGGGAGAGTGCTTAGTCATGTATAATGGATGGTATGTTTATATTTTCATACCTGGAAAAAGACCTTTTTACTTATCAAAGACACATTTTCTCAATTTCTGTTATAGTGGCCTGAAATAGTGTTTGGAACTGAATGTTTTAATTGCATAATGAGATGAAAGAAATGATGTATTTGCATGTGGATGTACTGTACCATCCAGAAGCAGAAGAAAAGGCCATCTTATGCAGTTTGAAGGTTTTTGGGCATGAGTCTGTCAGTCTCTTAAATGTGAAAACACACATCCTAAACTTGAATCTGAAAATTAGAACTATATAAAGTTATTTAAATGTTAAACCATTTTGGTTGCAAAATATGAACTGACACGGTAATAACGTCAAATGGCATTTATTCAGTTTTAATCCCCAACAAAAAAAAAATTCTGATTGTATATGTACTACTATGGCTGCTTATAATGATGGTATGTATATTAGTAAATGTTCATGTACTGTTTCACTGATAGTAAAGTGCAATGTTGATGCAAACCTGTGTGCGTTTCTTTTTAAGTGTAAACCATTTTATGAACTTGATTCATGCTTATTTTGGATTCTAGGTCAGAAGGTTTGGGATTAAAGTCCCCGTATTTGAGATTTGAACTCATGGTCTAATCTAAGTCTCCAGTGCAGTATTGGGGAATTGTAAGAGATTATGTTTTTGGTTAGGACATTTGGTCCCTTCTGCCTCTTTTTAGGTGGATATTAAAGATCCAATGACATTAATTGAAAAGAAGTGACTTTTCCTGCTAACAATTCTCCAGATTAAATTTCACTTTATGGCTGTTTGTGGGAGCTTGTTGATGAAAGTAGCTGCTGAGTTTGCCAACAAAAAAAGTCATTACACTTAACAGTAATTACTTGTAAAACGGTTTTGGATGTTTCAATATAAAACTATAGTGCTATAAAATGCAATTTGAAAGTTCTTTTATTATTTTCAACTGGTTCATGGTTGCTATGAATTAGGTAATTGTAATTGCTGAGAGGAATTAAAATGTAATGCATTCATCCTTTATTGGACGTCAAACATTATAGTCCATTTTATAGCTGCAAGGCAGAGATTGCAGAAAGAAAGGTGTATATGTAGCATCTTCATTCTTTGAATCAAAACATTCTCCACACATAACTTGCACCTTGGAGGCAGTGCATATATTCATTAGTAGAAAGAAGTAACTGAAAATGTCAGTGTGCTCCACTTAATACACAGCACAAAGGTTGGGGACATATTCCAATGTCACATCTTTATTGTCAGAATCATCTCATGACGGGTGGCCAATTTGAAGAGACCCCAATGTTCCAATACTAGTGCTGTTTTGTTGTGTGAAAGATATGTTCTAAATCAGAATGAAGACCTGTAGGCAATCTTTTAAATGTGACCCTTTATTTCCTGCACACTTCTTGTGACCCTTCTCGGCTTTTAAATACCATCAATTGTAAAAGCACTTTTCAATAAGAGTGTTCTAGTTTGTACAGCCAAATATATTGAATTTTTAACACCGTTTCAAACAACTCGTTTAATATAAATCATAGGAAACTATTCTCTGTTCTGATAGCCTTCCCTTAATCAGTTCATCTGATTTTTGAGAAATTGCATTGAATGATTGCAGGACCTTTCATTCCTGAACAAAGAAGAAATAGCTTCCATGTGAATAGAAAAGATATTCCCTGAAAGAGAGGAAATAAACCTTTGAAACCCCAAGCTTTATCTTCCACGTTTTGTCTTCTGAAGATGTAAAACTTGCATCAAACATTCTTCTATCTTCAAAGCTTCCTGAAAATGTAAAAGTGTTAGTTTTATCTGTCACTTAAAAATAAGAATGGTTGTAGTTTTGGGAGTACTATAAGTGTAATAACAATCCTTGTTTTTAAAACTAAAGTTAGTTGCTGTGTTTCTCGTAACGGAACGTGATTTACTCAGTACCGTTATTCAAAATGACACTGTCCACTTAAATGTTAAATGACATTCCCAAATAAAAATAAAAGTTCAACTTTCATAGCTTTAGACTCAGTGTTGTAGACATGAACATAGCTATGTGATTGATGCTTTGCAGATGTTTGGAAGTAGGCTTCCATCTTAGATATTAATCATACTACGTACATGACCGAGTGATACCAGAGCACAATGTTTCATCTTCCTGGCAAATGCATGTTAAATATAACCTTTGGAAACCGTACAAGATCATAGTATTAATTTCACATCCATCGAATAAAAAAATCTCTTAAGAGATGAAAATAGTTCATGTTTGGACAATAAGAGGGAATCATGAATATTATTACCAAAACATTTTAACAATTATAGGAAGCCATTAAACAATACTTTTTTTTAATTTAAAGGTTATCACAGCTGCAATGTAATAAAGGGTACATTCATTTTGCTTTGAATATCCTTTTTAAACTCGCATTTATTGTCAAAATGCAATAAGGTCACACTGGGCCAGTTCAGATCATATTACAAACTGAGAGTTGATCCAGGAACTTTTGCGTCCCTGCATTAATGGTTGGTTTACTTCATTTGGATAAGAGTTGGAATGCTATCTTGTCGGTATTTTAACGAAGAAACTACAGCTCAGGTTGTTGATCCTAAAACAAATCGTTTAAGAAGCATCACGTGTTCCCTCATCCTCAAAGGAATATTTTGTCCTGGTGCAACCAGAGCTCTCATGGAGTGTCGAAATACATTATGTAGTGCAACTTGAAACACAATATCATACTTTCATGAAAATGTCCTATGTCCCAATAACTAATCAATAAATTATTTTTGTTTATAAGAGGGACAATTGTGGTACAATCCAGAATACAGCCAATATTAATCTTGTTTTCCTACAAATACACGCACATTTAAAAATATCGTTTATAACCTTGGATGTTATTGCAACAGTGATGTGTTCCAGTTGTTCCCGACTGTGTCTGATTTTTTTTTAAAAAAGAAAGGAAATATAAAGTAAAATCAGCCTGCTTAAAAAAAAACCATCTCATTGTGCCACATACGGATGTGTGAAGTTGTACTGTGGCACCACTGGCTGCTGGTGATGCTGTTGAATCTATTTGAGGTTGCAACTCAAGGAGTGAAGCCACATGGAAAGTTTTGTTGAACTCCACAGGAAAGATTTACCTTTCCTTGTCTTCATGGAAGATCATGGGTTCCACACTAACATAATAAATTAATAAAGGTTGTTCAAGGTCAGATATGCATCTCCCAGCAATCTGGGAAAAGAATCCCCAAGAGATAGCGCAAGTCAAGACTTATCATAACTCAATAAATAAGATAAACCAACAAAATCAGATGCAAAGCATTTTGTGTGTGTTAAAAGAAGGCCGTGCTTCACTTTTCAATCACAGGCCAATGCGATTTGTTAGTGTGCCTCACAGGTGCAAACAGCTATACTTAACTACAACTCCAGTTGTCACTCTCAAACTAAACTGCATTCCACTCCATATATGTACATCAATTGCAATAGGCACTGTGCTGGTAGTACTATTGGTCAGGTCCTTTTCTATTGTCCCTTTCTAGGAGTTGGGCTTTATATTGAGTTTATCATTTCTTCAATGCAGCTAACAGAATTAAATCAAGAGTGTTTGCTTCATATATTTTCATTTTTGGACAAAGAGACCAGAAGGAGCACATCTCTGACCTGTCACAAACTTCGCGACGTGTTCCTGGACCCAACACTGTGGACTTTGCTGAATTTCTCTTCTCCCTCAGAATTGGGGAAGAATAATTTTCTGCTAAGTCCCGCGTTACGGTCCCTGTCTATCTGCTGGTATTCGAGTCGAGTGAAAATCTGTAACATAGAAGACTGGATGAAAAGTAACTTCCAGCGAGACATCTGCAGCAAGCACGAAAATCTCATCAATAACTTCTTGAATCAAATAAGTAACAGGTTGGTTGAAAGTTTTGATTCTATTTGGACAGACCTTATTTCAAGTACATTCCATTTATGTGAAACAAGTAATTTAAAATTGTTTGTGGGACACTGCTGTGCACAATTGGCTGCTGCATTTTGCCCCCAAAACACACAGTCACTGAACTTTACAATATATTCTATGAAGCGCTTTGAGACATCTCAACAATGTGACAAGGCACTTTATCAAATGCAAGGATTCTTCTTATTAATAAAATATATGTTATTCATATTTCTTTTCATTTTGTGGAATAAAGAGAAGAAATATTGTAGGCACCACAGGCACTGCTAATTCTACCATTATTTTCCTTTTGGTTGATTTCAGTGGAAACAAAGGCCTGATTCAATTTCCAAGAAATAGGAAGCTATTAATGTAGTGGGAAAGATTCTCATTTTACAGTTCAAAGAAAACAGATTCACATTCAGGACTGTTTGACAGCCTGTCTTATGATTGCTCTAAATCTATTCTTGGTCACAAAAACCAACCTGACTAACTCACCCTGGTATCTTGCTGAAGTGAACCTGAATAAATACTGAAGTAGATTCATTACAGATTTCAGTACAATGTACTGACAATTGGTGATGAAGACCTGTGTGATACCATTTTAGGCAATCTATGAACCTCCCTCCGCTCAGGGGCTCTGGCCTGCTTCATGTCCTCGCCCACCCCACCATTAGCAGAAGGGCTTCCAGCAACTCTGCCCCCACCCTCTGGAACTCCAGCCTACAGTCCCTCTACCCCGACCCTCCCTTGCCTCCTTCAAGACCCATCTCCTCAATCATGCCTTCGATCACACTCCTTTTCCCCTCCCCGATCCCGAGCCCCAGCTCCGTTCCGAAACACTGATTGTCCAACTGCTTGGGATGTCCTCCCAATGTTGTTTGTTGTTGTTGTAAATTTTCAGTCTGGGTACTTGTTTGCTCAGACAGAGTGAAGCACCTTGGTTTCTCGAGTGCTAGTGCTATTTCCAGTGACTTTACGAGATGAGGTATCACAGTGCTCACAAGCATAATTGATAATTCCAGATAAAACCATGTCCAATCATTATTGTCCTTGAAGGTTTCCAGCGCTCAGAAATTTAGTTGTGTTGGGTTAATATTCAAACTGTAAATGATATCATCATCAGTCTGACCAAAATGTGCATATGTTTTCTAGGTGTCCAAATTTGGTGTCGTTGACCCTCTCTGGATGTGGACATGTCACAGACTACTATATTATACAAATCCTGCAAAAATGCCCTAAACTGAAGGCTTTAAAATTAGAAAACTGTGCAAGAATGACTGACAAGGTCTTGGAAGCAGTTACTATCCACGGAAGAAATTTGCGAACGCTACATGTGGATTTTTGTCGAAATATCACGCAGGTCGGACTCCAAACGATCAGAGAGAAGTGTCGTTCCGTGTTTGTTAGTGCGGAAAGAAGTGCTGGTATGATCCCTGATAATAAACCAGATGAAACAGACTGGCTGGGGAGAGGAATGAAGAAACGACTATAAAAGCAACAAAAGACTGATTTGTTTTAATTTTCAAATTCTGCGTTTATTTTAAGCTTCCATTTGATTCGGATATAATGACTGCATGTATTGTATGTTAAGTTTGCCAAAAATATGCTTTCTACTCTTCTTTACAGACAGCATGTGTTTTTTTTTAACCCATGTTTATTTGGTGACCGTCTGCCCACAAGGCAGACTCTTTCATTGAGAGACTGAAGTGACATGAAGCAGTACAAAATTTGCAGAAAACAATCCTGCCCATACATACATATATATAATACAAATGGTAACAAGGATTTCATCCCACCAAAAACACATTTCTTTCCCAGAACTCAATTTTCCGCCCAGTTAAAATAAGGGAAAGAATTTAACAACAGATGGATGATTGTAGCCAAAGTATTTAAACCCTGTGGTCTTCCATAAAAGCTTCAATCCGAAGATCAAAGTCATATTTCACGTTGTTGAAAAGATTGGGGGCAGAATCGCAGTATTCAGCTTTGAACAAGTAATGTTGCCTTTTAATGCTGTCATTTCTTCTCAAGAATGTTCTTTGCAAAGTGATACTTTTCTACAACTGTTCAACTGAATACCAGTAAACAGCATGAATTTAAATGAGAACAGTATATGTTCACTTATCAATACCTTTCTGTCCACTAGTTGGTGCTGGTGTATAATTCACTACTTTGTTCATGTCCGTACACAGCACATCTCCTTCACAAGCAGTTAATTATGGTGATATATCTTCAATAAAACTGAAGGCAATTTTGCTTGTGAGTCGTAATGTTATCTTTATTTCATACTGACTGTGAAATAAGAGTTTCTACATACCTTAGGGCACACCACAGCTTTATCCTGGCCTAGGTTAAATGAACAAGCTTTACAACATAACTTGTACCATAAATTGCTGTGGTGCAGAGGACACGATTTCTTGATTACAAAGAGAATTATAAGCGACTGGTCTGCCAATGAGCCAGCTGGCTGCGCTGTCATCAGCAGTGCCCAGGAGTACTGCAGACCTGCCTGGCTCAGGAATTGGACTGCCAAGATTGCCACAGAGGATTGGCTCAATTCCAGTTCAGGGCCACTCTCAATTGCTCAGTGGATCTGGCTGCTTGAGTAACAGGAGTAACCCATCCTTCATCAAGGTCGCCTTTATTTTTACTTGCTATTAACCTCTCCTCATGTCTTCCCAGTGTAAAGGATGAGTTGAGGAACTTAAGCATAGTCGCAATCTTAGCACAACAAAAAACATTGTGGTGGATCACCAATCTGGTGTGGCATCAATACTCTCGCACTCTCTCTCTCTCTCCCACTTTTTCCATACTCTCTCTCATAAATAATAAATAAACATTAATAATCCTTTTATTTGATTTCACACCTTATTGTATCGTCGAGACGCTTCATAACTGGAGCAACTGTGTGTATTGTATAAAAGAGTCACCAAGAAGGCTTGCCCTCTCCCCCTCCACTCTGATTGTATGAATTTAAATGAGACTCCACCCAGCCAGCCTAGTTGTAAAATCCAGGCAACGCATATTAAGCAGCCTTTCCCACCCACCTATTAGCCTACACCTGGTCCAAACTCAACATGGAATCAATCATTGGAGTCAGGAGAGGCTCAAATCAGTGACCTGGACTCCAACCCTGCACAACACAGCAGCGGCCAGGACAAATGACTGACCATTTTTTAAAATGAAATTCCTGAGCCAACAAGAAAAGGGCAACACATCTAACTGGGAATCTGAGAGCAACGCATAACAGCTCAGGCAAGTTAAAAACAAGCTCATACCCATCCCAGGTGCACCTAGCATGAAATCACCTCCTTCGAAGGAAAGAAGAGAACATTTGCAAAAGAAAACCTATTTTCTCCTTTTACCTGTTGCTGTAATTTTTGCTGTTCACTCTGCGGATAGACAATGAAGAGGTGAGTGGCAATAGTGAGTGGGGGAGCGGGGACTGTGTGTGTGGATGCGATGGGGAGGTGGGGGATATAACTGACCCTTGCTCCCCATCTGCTCAATGATGGGACCAGGCAGGTGGGGAAGTGAGCACAAACCCATGGTTCAGTGCTGCCTTGTGTTTGTCCTCAAAATGTAGCTCATGCTTTCCCTCTCTCTCTCAGGGGTTTTGAGAGCTAGGTTGAATAGGGCATATACCTGCAGATGTCACCCCATCCAGTACTTGCTTAGTGTTGTGCAGCATGCAAAGCGGATAAGTCTGAAGTGGATAAATGCTTAGTTGAGAAGGCAACTACTTTGGAAAATTAGCACAAAGGCCACCCGATCTAATTTAATTTGTGCTTCAATGGTTGCTGTTTCTTGGGGGTTGAGTGGTTTTTCTTATTAAAATCTCAATTTAGTTATTTTGACGTATTACATGGTGAATATTTGCCACTCATTTTTAAAATATTTTTCACAAACAGAGGCAAAGTCGGCTCCCTTGCCTGTTCCCTGATTACTGTGCATCAGCCTGGAGCAGTTTGAAAGTAATTTAGCCTCTGAGTCAGAAGATTATGGGTTCATGCTCCACATTAGGACTTTCAAATACAGTCGCTCTACTTCACAGTAAATCCTGTGAAGGGCTTTGAGATGTCCCCCTGACGTGAAAGTCACTGTACCAAATGCAAAGATTATTATTACATGAGCTATAATGATTGGGAAGAACAGGTACAGATTCCAATGGGTGCTAAGTCAACTGCTTTCAGTCAGGGTAGGAGTATGACAATATAATCTGATTCAATGCCTTGGAATAGGGAACAGCTAAAAGCAACCAAGGTCATCCCTCCTGATTGCTATCAAAGATTTCAGCTGCAGGTGTGTATGTGTGTGGATTCTGAATGAGGACAGGATGAAGTTTGGCATTGTTGTTCCCTCTGGTGGAATAGTTTCCCATCATTCAGTGCCAAGGCTTGTGAAAGAATAATGGCCATTTGTGTGAGCCACCAAATGGTGAGCAGCAAGCACATGGAATTGTACTCCAGTAAAAGGATGAGTCAAAGGAGAGATGGGTAGTAAATTGGTCTTGATAATTAACACAATTNAAAAAACTACTGCAATTACATTCAAAGGTGCAGAGGACCAGGATATGCTATTACTCAAAGGATACAGAGTGCCCTTATAAAGCTCAGCTTGTGTTTTGAAGTATGTTTTGGTTGTTTGTGTGTAATTAACAAGGAAAATATTCACAGGTCCCTTAACACTAAACACAACCTTATGCACGCACCCTGCTATGAGAGTATGTTAATATCACAGACGAATTAGGTGACCCATAATGTTGAGGAAAGCTGACAAGAAACCTTTATATTAGTTCTGCTCTGCTGATGGATGGTAGGATAGGTGATGATCCATTTGCAAATGAGATCATTTAGTTTTAAAAATAGTAACTTCATGAATCTAGTGACATTTTTGGAACTGCTGTCTATTCTGAGGTTAACTTGTGTTGAGGTGTTCTTGGGAACTGTATTGGCAATCCAATGTGAATGTAGCTTTGCTATTATAGCATTGCAAGTCGCTATCCTACGTGAAGGCATGCTCTTCCTTAAAACTAACATACATATGCATCCCTCCCATCATGACTTCCTCTTCCTTTCCAAATATTTCCCTCTTCATTGGTAAAGGCAATTATTTTGCTGCAGCCTCCCATTCCCCCATCCTTCTTTGTCATTATTAAACTGACTTTATTCTGCAAAAGGAGACACAGCAGCACCCAGAACTGTTACCATGAAACAGCACATTCATAATTTTCAAGGTTGCTTTCTTAATTAAGCATTATCCACTTCAGGGGTATCCACTTGCATGCTGCAAAACATTAAGCAAGTGCTGGATGGGGTGACATCCGCAGTATGATTATCACAAGGCAAATGTTTGACCACACTGATCTTGTTCGCTTAAAATCGAATACTTCCTCCTCAACTGCTGCCTTTATTCAATATACTGTCATCTTCTCAGATGTGTCTATGGCTCCTCCAGCAAATCCCTGAAAGCAAACCCACCTTGTTTTGATCATATCGTCTGTTGAAACTGCTGGCATATTATCTGTAAATTATCCTTTACGATACAACCTGTTTCACAACAAAATTTGCTTTCCAAAGTTGTTTATGCTAACTTCTCCTTTTAAGACATACTTGCCTTAGAGGGGGTGCAGCGTAGATTCACCAGGTTAGTTCCTGGGATGAGAGGGTTGACCTATGAGGATAGGTTGAGTAAAGTAGGCCTATATTCTCCAGAATATAGAAGAATTAGAGGTGATCTTATAGAAACATATAAGATTCTTATGGGGCTTGACAGAGTAGACAGTGTGAGACTGTTTCCCCTGGTAGGAGAATCTATAACTAGGGACCACACTCTTAAGATTAAGGGTCAACTGTTTCAAACAGATTTGAGGAAACACTTCTTCACTCAGCGGGTAGTGAATTTATGGAATTCTCTAACCCAGAAGGCTGTAGATGCTCAGTCCTTGAACATATTCAAAACTGAGATTGATAGATTTCTAAAGGTTAGAGGGATTAAGGGATATGGGGATAAGGCGGGCAGATGGAGTTAAGTTAGAAGATCAGCCATGATCTTATTGAATGGTGGGGTAGGCTCGAGGGGCCGAATGGCCTACTCCTGCTCCTAATTCCTATGTTCCTAAGTGTTTTTGAAATGTCATTTAGCTGATTATTGTTTCACTAGTAAAATGGTTCAAGCCAAGATGGATATCGGTGAGGATGGACAACAGGAAGGGAGGGAGCTCTTGGTAGTTAGTGGAACTGTATTTTGTTTGTGTATGAGTCTTTGTTTTCTGTTTATTTCTGTCATGAATCAATAGTTCATTTTTATGCTTTTGTTACAAGATGACTTCTCTTGCAACTTTGTTTCATAATCATTGTGAAAAATAAACCCCAAGTTCGCAATTCAGCTGCCAAGTCTTCCGCTGAGTAAGATTGCACACTAATTGCCGTGCGGGGAATGCAATCTTACTAAAAAACTGGGTTCAACTTTGTAGCCAGCAGAAACTAGAAACTTCCATCGCAATTAACGCCTGAGGGATGAACAGTGGACTAACCCAGTGAATTACCAAGTCCCTCAACTTTCTTCATTACTAGCAGAAAGGCAGTGCTGAAGATATGGAATTTAATCACTGGAACTAAATTTGCCACCACGGAAGCTTCTATGAACACCACCTGCAGCGTTGTGTCCTAGATATTCATCCTCAGGTGTGTTGTAGGAAGTAAAAGATGAGCAATACCCACTGAATAACATATAATTATTCTGCTGCGGCTGAGCATTTTGTAAAAGTGTGATGTTCTGTTTGTTCAGAGACTTTTTTTAAAAAAAAAGTCTTGGCCCTCAAAGTGTTCTGAGACGTAAGCTCTGAGCCTGTGGAAGTGCACCAGATCTACTCAATATGAACATGTTAATGAACTGCTGGTCTCTGGAGGGAGACTCAGGTTTTCCTCAATGCCTGTATGCCACCAACCTGGAATCAGATTGTTCTTATTTTACTCTGACCCAATCTATCCTGAGGTCTATTGCTTTGATTTATGATGAACACTACTGAACGAACATGAGAATAGCCCTTCATCTCTTTGTATAGAAGGTAATTAACAACTGGAACAGGTTACCAGGTAGTTGCATCCAGAATGCTGGATTCTTTTAAGAAACAGCTTGATGCTGTAGTGGGTGTATGGTAATGGGTATTCTGGAAGGATGAGAACAAATGGGCCAATGGATTTTTATCCCAACCTCTGTTGTGATCAAAGTTATAGTTCTGTGCAAATTGCAT